AGTTGAAAAGTAGGTATGGGCAAATTGTGAAGGATTTTGAAAGATATGCTGAGCACCTGAATTCTCTCCACTTCCTCATGATCAGCCACGGAGCGTTTTCAAACAGGAGAGGGAGAGGTTCACATTCCTATTGGAAATTGGCAGCTGTGGCAATGGTGATGAGAATTGATGTGGAGTCAGGGCGGCTGGAGGAGCTGATGAAGGTCAACTAAGGCTGACAGTGACAATAAAGGAGAAGCTCTCCACAGGAAAAACCACGAGGATTTCCTGACTCATGGGATGGGGAAAAAAAATGGGAGGAGCAAAGCACTACACCAGAGTTTCTAAATCAAACTAATGAGTGATGAATGACAATTAGGGCTTGTGGGAGGAGGGTGCATGGGAAGGAAATACTGAGCTAGACTTGCTTGGATGGAAATGCCAATGGGACCTTAAACTGGACACTTTTAGGCCAGCTACTCTGACAGATAAGATAAGGGCTACCCCTGACCTTGGTCCAAAATCGTGGCTGAGATTGCTAATCTAAAAGACAATGAAACCTGCATCCAAACTTAAAATTAACTATGTGAGGTTTAACATAAACAGGTGTCCCATCAAATGCATATATCAGAATACTTAGGATAGATTTTGTTTGGTGTGTGATGCTGGGAATCAAACACCAGGCTCCATGCATGACAGGCAAGTGCTTTACCACTGAACCACGCCTCCAGACCGTAGATTTCCAAAGTATATATTTTCAAAGTTTATTTATGCAGACAAGAGAAACTGTTTGAGGCCTAGACATTTGAGACTTTGGGAACTATTGAGCATCAAGGAAGTGATTAGTCCTTATTCAGGTAGTTCAAGGCAGGACTTTGGCTGGATATACAGCTTCTCCCATCACCCATCACCTTTCCCCAAAGACAAAAAACAAAATCTATCTGATAAAGTACTTTTCCAATTCTCCTTTAATCAGCAATTTGTTGTTCTCCCCAAGACACAAAATGAACTCAGAAATGACATACCCATGAAAGGATTTTAACTCCACCCAGTCAACAGGGTTTGTTTTGCAATATGTTGCTTCATTAGGACTCCCCACCCCAGCACTAACCCGAGTGTGACACTTTTGGCTCTCAGGGCTGGGTGTTTTCTCTCTTTCTCTTGACCTTTAGAAAATACCATGCATATTAACATGCACACCCTGCTTTCACATACTGGGTGTGAGTGTGTGTGTGTGTGTGTGTAGAGAGAGAGAGAGAATTAATATATATTTTACATATTCATATTTTATACATTTATACATTATATATTTAAAATTATGTATATATATATATATATATATTGTTTTTTCATTCCAAAAATAAGGAATGCAGGGAGGGTAATCATGTAAGAAGGTTGGCTTTGCAGATTAATACAGATTTTTGTTAAAAATAGCCTTTAATTGAAATGTCTTCTTGTTTTTACCAAGGACGCAAACCTTTTGAACCGTGACTCATTCAGAAGCAGATTTACTTACCCCTATAGATTTACAGCACAGTTTTGATGTTGACTCCTTCTAATAATTCTGTAGCAGACTCTAAGGGAAAGAAATGAAAGGGCAGAGGGGAGTACTTTTACCAGATGAATGTAAGGAGAGTTTCAGGAGATGTCACAAGAACATGCTGTTGTCCTCAGTTATTTCCATCTTAGGTGGATGATTCACTCTGGCGTGTCCCTGACCCACCATACATCAGTGTGGTATGTATAGGCTCAGAAGCTAAAGTCTGTGGATTCAGTGGGTTTTTCTGACTCATGGTTGTTGACATTTTCTTTCAAGATTTTATCCTTCATAATTTTAATGCTTTTCCAAATTTAGTAGTTTGAGAGAGCAACACATCAATATCAGGCTTCTTATTACCTGAATCATCTTTGTTTCCTCTAAGATTCAGTTTTTGTTTGGTACTGGGGATTGAACCCAAGGCATTTTACCACTGAGCTGCATCCCCAGCCATTTAAAAAAAAATTTTTTTTTAACCTCCCTGACTCTCAGACCTGCACATATAGACCTTAGCCTATGCCTTACCTGTCATTTCTCTACCTGGGTGCTCACCTATCTACCTGATGTGGTCTAATTCAGAGCATTCACCTAGCGGCTTCCTTGGATTCACATGTCTTTCTGTCCAAGCGCACCGGTCCCTCCTGGACAACCCAGTTTTGCCCTCCTGGGCTTCTAGAAGATACTTCCTCCACTGGAAACCACATGGGGTAATCTAGAAAATACCTCATAGCAAGTCAAATGTCCCTCCTTTAATATAAAACATACAAACTTAAAACTTGAAATTGCTATTGAATGTATTCAGTAACTATAGCCCAGAGTAGCTTTTGTGTTGAGAGAGAGAGAGAGAGAGAGAGAATATCACTTTTCCTTCTTAACATTGGGAAAGAAGAAAATATATGATAGGAAAATTTAGCAAAGAAATTTGATCATGTCAGATTTCCTCTGTGATAAATCCAAAATTACTGTCAAGGGTAAAGTGGGATGATTAAGCACTCACCCTGCAGGGTGCACATTTACACTGCTCTGTCCAGATGGTTTTTACAGCCTTATCTCTTCTCATTGCTGTGTGTCCATACCGTACGTACTGAGCCTACATGTTTTGACATCAACTCTGGCTTATGAAACAGCTCTTGGAACATGTTAACGCTAGATTAGTTTTAATCACCATCATCATCATCATCATCATCATCATCATCATTACATCATTTTGCTTTCAAAGATTGGGATATTTTAAAAATCATTTGTGTCATTTTTAAGAAAGCAGAGTCAGCAGGACAAAGGCTTCCATATAAATATTTTATAAAGAGAGAGAGCAGCTCTGATTGGTTAGTGCTATTAAAATTGAAAATGTGGTACAGCTGAAGTATTAGCTTGAAGTCTGGTTAAAGGGTCGTTTTAGTCAGCTTTGCCTCAGTGTGACCAAAACACCTGACAAAGAACAACTCAGAGGAGGAAGAGTTTATTTTTGCTCACAGTTTCAGAGGCTCAGTCCATGATCAGCCACGGCTTTAAGCCCAAAATGAGGTGGAACATCGTGCCCGAAGGGTAGGAGAGAGGAAAGTAACTCAGGACATGGCAGCCAGGAAGCAGGGAGGTCTGCTCACCAAGGACAAATATAAACCCCAAAGGCACATCCCAGTGACCTACTTTCTCCAGCCACATCCTATTTGCCTACAGCCCAGTTAATCCCCATCAGTGGATTAATCCACTGATTACGTTAAGACTCATAATTGAATCATTTCACCTCTGAAAATCCTTGCATTATCCCACACATGAACTTCTGGGGGATACCTCATATCTAAATCATAACAAGGGTGAACTATAAGTTTTAGGATGATATATTTTAGGAAAAATAAATCTGTCTTGGCTTAGCCTATTTCATCAAATAATTTAATTTGAATACACATACCCCTATAGATACAGTAATATTTTGATTATGGTATTAATGGAGCTACATACTAAATATTTATGAAAAAATTGTCTAAAAGTAATCTATTGGGGGGAAAATATATGTGTGTGTGTGTATATATATATATATATATATGTGTGTGTGTGCATGTGTGTGAGCGTGTGTGTATATACATATATAAGTATATATATTTAAAAGTTGCCATGAATTGATAACTATTAAAATCAAACAGTGAATATATGATAATTATTATATCATTGGGTATATACATATATATATATATATATAATGTTTGTTTTCATAGTTTTCATGTAAAATATTAAAACACAAGCACATTCAGGTAAATATTGTTTGGTTTAAATATAGTTATTCCTAAGCATCTGTGGGGGATTGGTTCCAGGAACCCCTGTGAATACTCAAATCCAAGGATTCTCAGGTCTCTTATATTTGTATAAAACCTACCCAAATCTTCCTCTATACTTTAAATCATCTCTAGATTACATACATACACACACACATACACACACACACATGCCATGATATATATATAAAATGAAAATATAGTCACACGTCCCTAACCAATAGGGATAAGTTCTGAGAAATGTGTCTTTAGACAATTTTATTGTCATGAGAACACGTGTCATACAAAGATGGCTATAACGTCATCAGGCAATACAATCACAGGACCTTGGTGGTATGGATAGTCTGTCTTTGACCAAAGAAATCATATATTATTAGGGAGTATGTAACTATAGTTGTTATGCTGGATTGTTCAGAAAATCATAACAAGAAAAATATCTGTATATGTTCAGTACAGAAAAAAACATTATGAATATTTTTAAGCTGTGGCTTTAAGCTATAGTACTATCTTCTGATTTCTCATCCCTGTCTTGCCAAAAATGTCAGGAAAGAGAATAGCTGGTTACATCCCCCAAGGAACCAGGCCACTACTTATTTTATAAAAACACTTTCCTCTGTAGGATAATGGCTTCATTTGGTTTAGGCAAAGAAATGTTATAACGTTAAAAAAAATGTTTTTTTTCCTTGACTGTATGACCTTTTTAGTTCTCTAAAAGACCCAATGTTTCCAAATAAATGTAGCAAAAGCTGCTATTTCAGAGATATCTTTGGAAAGCAGGGAATCACTTGGTAATGTGTTTAATCATTCTTGACATAAGATTTTTGTGTAAGATTTTAAATGAGGTGAAGGTCTACACTTCTCATACCCATGCTCTGAGGCTTTCTCCTTTATATCTAGGTATCCTATGGTGACATGAATTCCAAAATGATGTCCACTTTGTTCACTTGGCTCCAAGGAGATTAGCTTAGTCTATAAAAGCAAAGTTCTGTTTTCACTTTGTGGGAGTTCTCAAGGTCTTGGCTCCATCTTGCACCATGCAGATGGGATCATGGTCAGGCATGGAACTTCAGGGCAACACGAATTTTCCTCTCCATACAGTTCTCTTCCCATCTTGCCTGCCATAAATGGGGCTTTTGAAAAAAAAAGCGACCTGATGATTATCCCAGGATAAGCTTTTATGAGACTGTTAATATGTGGATTTCTTCCTTTTTCAGATGGGTGAGTCAAACGACGACATAGACCAAATGTTCAGCACTTTGCTGGGAGAAATGGATCTTCTAACCCAGGTAAACTCCCGCTGTTAACCTGCAAACTGAGGAGGGAAATGGGATCACAGAATTTGATTTTTATATGACAAGAGTGCTGTATGTAAAAGTAATGCTGGAGACTGACAACATTCTGTATTACATATTCTTGATATAACTGTGACAGTGGTGGGGGGTGGTTGCAAAACTCCTTCCTGATTCTGTCGTTCTGAGTTCAGTTATTTAGTATTTTGGTCACATACATACATACATTCTCATACAGTCTGTTATGGAAATTCTAATGCTTACTGTGTCCAGTGGAGGAATTTTCCCCCTCTGACCACCATTACCTAGTAGTTTCCCTGGTGGTTAACTTTATAAAGACTGGCGGAGAACATGACATCATCTTTTGTAAAAGTTTTTTTTTTTTTTTTTATTTAACCAACCTTTGAGAGACTGTTACATTTTAAAGGACTAAGTGGGAGTAATTATGGGTCCCTGAGTGGACTGTCAGAACTTTCAAAACTTGGTTCCCTCAAAGGAGCATGAAGGCCACTCAGTCATAGGCTACAGGGCTGAGAAAAGTGGTGTCATCAAGACCACATTGACTCAGCGGTCACCCCATGCTCAGGTCAACTGGAGCCCAGCAGCTATAGACCCAAGGCCACTGACCCAGGTTTCAAAGTCTGGTGAGCTTTAGAGCATCTTGTAATGTGCTCATAAATGCTTCTTTGATTCAGAGGACACTCAGGTCATGACAAAAAATGTCAAAATAAAAATAACCCAATATTCCTAAATAAGACAAGGATCTTGAGTTTTCTACAACATAAATGAGTTGTCTGCATTTTCAAAGACATTTTTTAGGAAAAAAAATTTAGTTATATGTACATTCTCTATAAAATTCATGACAGATTTTATTCTATAAAAGAAGAGACAAAATGTGAGGCCCTCGTGGAAGGGTGGTATTCAGAAGGTGGGTTAGGGCACTAGCCACGTTTCTGCAGATGAGGACTTTATTTTTCCTCTCATGAGGGAAGAGTGTGAATGAACATTTATGACCTTTTTCTGTTCATTTGCTCCCTTTTCAGCCAGTGGGAGGAGTGATTGCTCTTGACTGGCGGAGTCTGGGATTTTCATGGGACCATGGTTGATAATTATTACTATAATTCAAGAGTAGGACATAAATAAACTTACAGACAACAACCACAGGATTATCTCAGTAGATGCAGAGAGAGCATTTGACAAAATACAGCACTCATTTGTGTTTAGAACACTAGAAAAACCAGGGATAGTAGGAACATACCTCAACATTGTAAAAGCTATATACATTAAACCAAAGGCCAACATCAGTCTAATCCAAGAAAATCTGAAGGCATTCCTTCTAAAAACTGGGACAAGACAGGGATTCCTTCTTTCACCACTTTTATTCAACATCGTTCTTAAAACCCTAGTGAGAATAATTAGGCAAAAGAAAGAAATTAAAGGGATATGAGTAGGAAAAGAAGAGATCAAATTATCTCTGCTGATGATATGATCCTGTATTTAAAAGACCAAAAAAATTCCACCTTAAAACTTCTAGATAAATGAATTCAGCAAAGTAGCAAGATACAAAATTAACACCCATGAGTCAATTGTGTTCCTATACACTAATGAAGAATCAGCTGAAAGAGAAATTAGGAAAACTATCCCATTCACAATAGCCTCCAAATAAAATAAAATAAAATAAAATGCTTGGGAAACAATCTAATAAAAAAGGTGAAAGACTTCTACAATGAAAACTACAGAACACTAAAGAAAGCTTAGAAGATGGAAAGATTTCCCATATTCTTGGATAGGCAGAATTAATATTGTCAAAATGCCATACTACCACAAGCACTAGTGCAATTCCTATTAAAATTCCAGTGACTTCTTCATAGAAATAGAAAAAGCAGTCATGAAATTCATTTGGAAACATACGCGGCCCAGAATAGCCAATGCAATCCTTAGTGAGAAAAGTAAAGCAGGAGGCGTCACAATACCAGACCTTAACTTATACTACAGAGCTATAGTAATAAAAACAGCATGTTATTGACACCAAAACAGACATGAAGACCAATGGAAAGTAATAGGAGACACAGAGACAGACCTATATAAATACAGTTTTCTCACACTAGACAAAGGCATCAAAAACACACATTGGAGAAAAGATAGCCACTTCAACAAATGAAAAACTGTAAATCCATATGTAGTAGACTGAAATTTAACCTGTATCTCTCACCTTGCACAAAACTTAACTCAAAGTGGATCAAAGACCTAGATATTAGACCAGAGACCCTGTACCTTCTAGAAGAAAATGAAGGTCCAACGCTCCAACATGTCACCTTAGGAACCAACTTCCTTAACAAGATTCTTAAAGCACAAGAAGTAAAATAAAAAATTAATAAATGGGATGGCATCAAACTAAAAAGCTTCTTCACAGAAAAGGAAAAAATCAAGAGTGTGAAGAGAGAGCCTTCAGAATGGGAGAAAATCTTTGCCACCTATACCTCAGATAGAGCATTAATTTCCAGAATATATAAAGAACTCAAAAAAAAAAACACCAAAAAACAAATAACCCAATCAATAAATGGACAAAGGAACTGAATAGACACTTCTTGAAAGAAGAAATACAAATGATCAAGAAGTGTATGAAAAAAATGTTCAATATCTGTAGCAATTAGCAAAATGAAAATTAAAACTACACTGAGATTTCATCTCACTCCAGTCAGAATGGCAATTACCAAGGATACAAGTAAGAAGAAAATGTTGGCAAGGATGTGGGGGGAAAGGTGCACTTATCCATTGCTGGTGGGACTACAAATTGGTACAACCACTCTGGAAAGCAGTATGGAGATTTCTCAAAAGAACTAGGAATGGAACCACCATTTAAACCAACTATCCCACTCCTCAGTTTATATCTAAAGATTTAAAATCAGCATACTACAATGATTCAGCCACATCAATGTTTATAGCAGCTCAGTTCCCAATAGCTAAGCCATGGTGCCAACCTAGGTTTCCTACAACAGAAGAATGGCTAAAGAAATTGTGGTATACATACACAATGGAGTATTACTCAGCCATAAAGAAGAATGACTTTATGACATTTTCGAGTAAGTGGCTGGATCTGGAGACTGTTATGCTAAGTGATATAAGCCAGTCCCCAAAAACCAAAGGTCAAACATTTTTGCTGATATGTGGAAGCTAACCCACAGTAACAGGGAAGAGGGGAAGAACAGACATTCAGTAGATTAGACAAAGGGGAATGAAGGGAAGGGATCGGGGATAGAAATAGGAAAGACAGTGGAATGAATCTGACATAACTTTCCTATGTACATATATGAATACACCACAGTGAATCTCACCATCGTGTACATCCACAAGACTGGAATCCTAATTAGAATAAGATACAGTCCATATTTGTATAAATATATCAAAATAATCTGTCATGTGTAATTAAAAACAACAAATAAAATTTTTAAAAGAATGGGAAAGAGGAGCCTCCAAGACTATTGAACCTACCTTTGTTCAAGGACCTTGGAGTTTTTGCTTGCTCTTTGTTGCGCCCAGAGAGGTTTAGTCAGCTCTCCCATGGGGGTAAGCCCCTTCTCCTTTTCTTTCAGGGCAAGAAAAAAGGTAAGATCTGTTCTTCAATTTAATCACTACCCATTACCCTTTGAGATGACTGCGTATTTTCCCAGCCATTTGAAAAACTGCTGAATTTCACAAATTTATTTTCTGATTGGTTTCCTCCAGAACTTTAGAAAATGATCAGGGATATCTTTTACCAAGTTAAATTAACATAAAGGGATGCATTCACTGTCATAAAAATATTCATGTTGGAAAACATGTGAAATCACTTCTTAAAAAATTAATTTGTAAATATAATAGTTTGAAATCAAAAAAATCACTTATTTCCAAATAAAACATAACACTATTTACACAATTAATAGGTTAGTCTATGTATGTTTTTAATTTTGTAGTGCTGGAAATTAAATCCAGGGCCTCATATATTCTAGGCAAGGGCTCTACCTCAGAGCCCTTAATTTCCTTTTAATAAGATTACTACTCAGAGCAACAGCATAATATTTTATTACATATAATAGATTGCATCCTGAAACAGCTTTTCTCCTCTAAATGATTTTTTCTTTTTTGATGTCATTACTTAAGTCTTTATATATTTATACATAGTATGTGTGTTCATCATTACAGGAAGATTTTTCTTTGTGGAATTAACTGTGTCATTCTCAATTAACTTGATCTGTTACAAGATGCTCCTTAAAGAGTAACATTTTAAATCACCATTTTCCATAGGGAGAAAACTCACACAAAACATTTTCAAGTAAGAATGTGGTCTTTAAAGAACATATTTAAAGAGAAAATGTGTAAATAATAAAAGATGTTTGACTTGCTGATTAAAATGTGCTATGTTGGTATCATGAATAACTCTGAGGGGGCTGGGATCTGTTTTCACAGAGTTTAGGAGTGGACACTCTTCCTCCTCCAGAACCTAAACCACCTACAGCTGAATTTAACTACAGTGTGGGTTTTAAAGATTTAAATGGTAAGCATAACAATTTCTTAAGTAATTTGAAATAATGATGACTAAAACTTGTATGGAACTATAAATTTGAAAACAATATTAAAGGAGCCTGAGCGTCATGGTTAAAGTTTTGGATTTCAAATTGTGTTTTACTGTACCTAGGTTGAATTAAGAAAATCAATTGGACATTTTTGTCTATAATGCAAAAGAAATAATATTTACTAGAAAATGGCAGACTGCATCCTAAAATAGCTTTTCTCCTTCAAATGACTAGATATTTCTTTGATATCATTATTTAAGCCTTCATGAGGAGGCGTTTGTGAAAGTCTCAAAATCATCTTGTGTTTTTTTGGAGAAGGGGAGTTTCTTCTTATTGCTAAGGAGTAGTATAAGAAAATATTAATAAGGAAATGTCTGTTCAAGGATTAAAAATGAACTATCTCATAATGATTGATTATACATGAATGAATATTTCCAAATATGTTGTAATTTATATATGATATATGCTTACATGCAATTTGTTCTATTTGACATTTTTAAACTACCCCTGAGGTTGACATTTTCTATTGTTAACAAAAATCTCTCTTCTTATTTAGTGCAGAAAAAATCTTTATCTCAGATGCTATTCAAATTATAATAAATCTTAAAGTAGTCACTTCCAAATTAATGAGAATTCACTGGAACTCTTGAAAAAGATTTGCCAAAATCTTGTAGTGACCACAAAAAATATAAAAACAACACAAGAGAATCTAGAGTTCCAAGTTGTCTTTCTTTTCTTCACTGAGTTTCCATCATTTTCAGTAGTTTTTTGATAAGCTAGGGGGTGCCAATGACTCTTCCTTGATAAATTACCTCTTCTGATTTTTGTCTTTTTTTGCTACTTTTTTCTATTTTCCACATAAACTTATTTCTGCCAGTCATTTCCACCAAGATGGTAGAAATTTGTAGAACTTTCAAAAAAGCAATACACTTTTGTAAAATTATGACAGCCATAGAGTATTGCACATATGGGCGGTGCAGATTTGGCTTCACAACGCTTACAACAGCTAAGTACTTTTTCATCAGTTTAATTAAAATTAAATTTTAACTGACATTTCAATTGAGTTGCATTCAATTCAACTAATGTTTCCTTGGAAATAACATAGAGCCTGGTATGGAAAAAGTCCTGGAAAATGATAGGAACAAGAAAACCTAGCAATCTCTAAGCAGCAATGTTACCGTGTTGTAACAAGAAACTAAGAAATTCATCTCGTTAAGAAGACAAGATGCACACATATTGCTTAATTTGGGAATATGACAAGAACATTTAAATGTACTGATATATGTGACAAACTATTTTTTTTAATTTTCCACATTTCTATTGGTGCATCATAGTTGTACATAATGATGGGTTTTGTTGTTACATATTCGTACATGCACACAATGTAACAAAGTAATTTGGCCAATATCACTCCCCAGATCTTCCCCCCTCCCACCTCACCTCTCACCCCTTTTTCCCTTTCCTCTACTGATCTCCCTTTGATTGGAAAATTAAATTCTTTTAAGATAAGTTTAGCAATAAAAATTTTACTGTCTTCACATAAAAAAAATTGCTAAAATGAATTCAAAATATTTTGCTCAAAGTCATTCAGAGTTAGTGACAGACTTAGAGCCATTTCTATCTCATTCTCCAGTATCATATCACTCATCTATTAATAAATTTAGGGTTATTCATTCATATGTTAAATTTTATTTGAAAATTATTAATGTTAGTATCATCATGAGGATTTTGTTACTGAAATATTTAGAATGGATTAAAAAGTTTTTATGTCAACAGTCAAAATATAATTTATTGTGTTAGGCTATTAGTTATATATATTTCTCTGAAAATATTTATTTATTTACTTACTTATTTATTTGTGATGCTGGGGATTGAACCCAGGGCCTTGTGCATGTGAGGCAAGCACTCTATCACCTGAGCATTATATACCCAACCCTGAAAATATTTTAAATTAACTTTATTTTTTAAAGAAATTGTATGTAAAAAAAAAATGATTGTTTTGGTCAGCTTTTTCACTTCTGTAACTAAAGGATCTGACCAGAACAATTTTAGAGGAAGAAAAGTTTATTTGAGGGCTCATGGTTTCAGAGTTCTGAGATGATATACAACCAGCTCCATTTCCCGCAGGGGTTCCAGGTGAGGCTGAACATCATGGCAGAAGAGTGTGGCAGAGGGAAGCAGCTCACATGATGATCAGAAAGCAGAGAAAGAGACTTCACTTAACCTAACACATATATACCTCAAAGCCACGCCCCCAGTGCCCCACCTCCTCCAGCCACACCCCACCTGCCTTCAGTCACCACTCAATTAATCCCATCAGGTGATTAATCCACTGATTGAGTTAAGGCTCTCACAATCCAGTCATTTCCCCTCTGAACCCTCTCACAGTGTCTCACACATGAGATTTTGAGGGATACCTCACATCCAAACCGTAACAATGGTTTACAATAAAATAAACCTGTTACACATTTAGGTGATCAGAAATTTAGTATGAAGTACTGTACACTAGAACTATTAGTTCTGATGTAATATGCCATATGGTGTTGATGATATTTGACAATAAGTTACTTCACAAAGATTTATGCTTTGCCACTGAGCAGGCTTTATTTCTTCGGCTGGTATTTCTTCATTTCAGTTCAGTCTGGAGCAACGAGAATTCTCTTATCTCATGGATCACTTCTATCCTGCTCGTCTTTAATTCATTACATTCACCCATCTTCAACATATTCTACTAACATTGCCCACCAACGCCACTACCACTATGCCTGGCAATCTAATACCTTTCAGGATCATATTTGTGGTCTACCACAGTGATCTCACACTTGAAACAAATTCTAAGGTGAATGCTTCTTCTTGCCCTTCACCCTAAAAATCCATGCCCTCCCTTTCTTTTATAAGTGCACTTCCAGCTCACTATCTTCATAAGTCTTTTCCATTTAATCCCATAACATTTTTTTTATTCCTTAAGACCTTTGCTACTTTAATTCCTGCTATTTATCATTAACTGCTCTTTCTTTGAATGTGAGATCTCCTGTAGCTGGGGGGAGAATCTACAGAACCTCCATCTTCAACCACAAAGTCTAAAGTCATATTAAACCTAGCATGTTGAAACTCACATTATTCCAAATATATTTATCAGCATTATTCTATCTATCCTCCAAATGCTTAGAGAGAACTCGCTTTCTGTCCATTTCTCTTATTTTCCTTGCCTACCTTTCTAAAACCCTAAGATCTTGCACTACAGAAGAATTGCTCCTTCCTATTTATGTGCTTGGATTTGACTTTATAGCTGATATGTGACATGCCCCAGTAGAAAATAGTTTCTCCTTTTCTTCCAGTTAAAAACTCATACTGCACTCAATAAATGCCACAATAATCATTTTAGAAATTCTTATACTTGTATGTTCTACTGAATAAAAATATTCCCACCCTTTCTCATATCATAACAAGTCAAAAGAATGACTTCATTACTCAAATATTACTCTTAAAAATAGCTTCTTTCAGGCTGGGTCTGTAGTTCAGTGTGGCAGAACGCTTGCCTAGCATGCATAAGGCATGGGGTTCAATCCTCAGCACCACATGAAAATAAACAAATAAAATAAAGGCATTCTGTCCATCTACAACCAAAAAAAATTTTTTAAAGATTTTCTTTCAGTTTTTCCAGGTGCAAATAGTTGTTTTTATCATTAATGTGATTTTCTCTGTCAGAGTCTTTAAATGCACTAGAAGACCAAGATTTAGATGCCCTCATGGCGGATCTGGTAGCAGACATCAGTGAAGCTGAGCAGAGAACAATCCAGGCACAGAAAGAATCCTCTCAAAAGCAACAGGATTCAGCAGCTGTGGAGGTGTCAAATTACAGTGGTGCAGCCTCTCTGGGTTATGGAGCAAATGTTGCGGCAACTGGTTTTAGCCAATATGAGAATAATTTACCACCTCCATCAGCTGATCCTGTGTTAGACCTTCCACCGCCTCCACCACCTCCCGAACCTCTCTCTCAGGTAAGTGTGTGGGGCCAAAGATGGCAGAACCATTGACTTCTGCCATCCATCATCTTTGACTTTCTTTGAAGAGATAATTACATTTCTAGGTTTGCATGCTCAAAGCTCTGAAGTACTAAAAACATGAGGATACTGAGTATGTTCATTGCAAAACCAGAGTCCTCCATAAACAAGATGCATAGGTATTGTCTGAATACCACAGACTGGGTAATGTATGAAGAACACAGACTTATTTAGCTCACAGTTCTGGAGGCTGGGAAGTTCAAGAGTGTGGTGCTGGCACCTGCTTGGCCGTGGTGAGGACCTCATGCTGCATCATAACTTGGCAAGACAGAGCAAGCATACCTAACAAAGCCACTGTCTTGATAATTCATTGATCCATAAGTGGATTAATCCAGAGCCCTCATGACCCAGCCATCTCTTAAAGGTCCTACCTGGCCCCACCTCTTAATACCTCAGATGGAAACCACGTTTCAACATGAGTTTGGGTTGGGACATTCACACCATATCACGTATGTATAAAGAGCACATTTGGGCCATATTTAATATTTACGATGATTTGATTAAAAGTTTATGTTGGTATGCACACACTCCTGATAATACTGAATTTGGGGTGAAATGTTTTATCAACTTTGTATGAACTGCAGCACTGATTTATATTTTTCCATGTCCCTAGCCCTAGCCCAGGACATAAGGGAATATAGGGCACTTGTTACAAATTTCTTGAATTGAACTAAATTTGAATTTTGCTGACATTGGTATCCCTGTTTAGTAGGGCAAAAATAAATTTCAGTATCACTTAATGTCATCACTGGGAAGGGTGACATAAGGTAATGAGTGCCTGATATTAATAAATTTCTGAATTTTGTAAACATACAGCTGGGAAGTTCATATTGTCATTGTTTGGGATGTGACCTCAAATTTGCCTCTCATAAAAATATGAAGAGAACTTTTAAGGATTTTTCTTAGAGTGAGCCACTAAAAATATTTTGAAGAACTCAACTCAATTTCCTTTGGCTTCCACATTGGTTGGTCTCCATAAATATGACCCTTGGGACCCTGGAAATTCCTGTTGTGTCTTTTGAATCAGCAAATTTTAAATATAAATTAGATATTAAATCATACTCTATCACACTCATTGTCCATTGTGCTTACTATAGAAAAACTATGTGACAATTGGTGATCAGTATAGAGCAGAGGATCTTAACATAAGGTCCCTGAAAATTTCAGGAGGGGTGGGCAGCATTTCCCAAGGCAAATACAAAGTTGAACTCACATAGGAAGCTTTAGAGAATTCCTCACTTTCTGCATATTCTTAAAGGGTCTTGGGGCTCAAAATATTTTTAAGAACCACTGATATAAAAAGATACATGTCTACTTTCAAGTAATTAAAATGTAACCAGAAAAACTCATTTCCTCAACATAAATAGATAGGGGAGCTTTAACAATTCTATTTTTACAATACTAATTTAAGAAAATCAAAGGATTCATTTATTTGGGCTCGTAGAATACTTGGCTCTTTTTTCTGTCTGCTCATGTGTGTTTGCCAGTGCTTTTCTTGGTGATTTATAAGCTAAACTTTGAGTCTAAGTCTTAATTTGGGGGGAGTTGAGGATCTTTTTTAAAGAATCTAAGAGAAACTAGGAAAATTTTAAAATGCTAATCCAAGAATGTGCATATAATTTCAGAAAGTGCTCAAATCCTTGAGATGGATCCACTTTAGATTACTTAGGTTGGTCTCACCAGTTTGAGAAATTTTTGTGGTCTAACTATGTGAAGAACTGTTAAGATCATCATTTCATCTTTTATGTTGAAATACCTGGGCTATAAATGGTGACTGCTTTCTGTATCTTTGGGTTGAAAATTTTGGTTATAGTCATTTAAATTCTGAAATCGAGCATGTGAAATTGGGTAATTTTTGTTACCAAAAAAAAAAAAAAAACCGAAGATACTAGTGATAGCACAAGCAAATACTCACTGGTATTATTTAATGGACTATGTCGAATATCTCAACATTTTACAGGAAGAAAGAGAAGCCCAAGCCAAAGCTGATAAAATTAAACTGGCATTGGAAAAACTGAAGGAGGCCAAGGTTAAAAAGGTAAACTATGAATCACTTTTTGCATGGGGGAGATTAAATTAGTAACAACTTTTTATACTTAATGATAAAAATTAAAATGTCAAGTGGTATTCTCCAAATAGTTGTTATTTTCTTTAAAAAATTAAGAATGAAGGTACAGTATATAGTTTGCCTGATAAATGGGGGACTTGTCTTAGTATAAAAGTGGAAGTTCCCTTGACTTTGTACATGATCTTTGTGTTGATTTATGCATGATTTTCTCTGTTCACTGGAGTATGGGAAGTTGAATACCTTTAACAAGAAAGGAAAAGGCTCTGACTTGGCTGCCATACAGGCAGGGCGCTTTCAGCTCTATTTTGAGAAAGTTTTAAACAATTCTGTCCATCTTGGGCTCCTTCCCCTGAGGGGCCCCCTGGGATTTTGCTCTGCTCTCATAGCAGGTGGCGCCACCTTCTGGAGCTGCCTTAATTGGGTCAGAGCTCAGCTTCAATGAGTCTCACAATTCCACAATTGCTATTGTGCATTTTTTTACTTCTCCTGGGGCAACCTCTAGCCCCCATGCTGGCTGCCCTACTTGTCAAAGTCATCTCCCCAAGAACCAAATGTTGTTTATGCTGGTACTCAAGTTTCCAAGTTGCATAGATTTTGAGCAACATATCCCTAACCCTACTTTCTCAGTATACCTGTAATTTGTGCATTTTTTGCAGAGCATAGGTTTTTCAGGAATAGGTGCATTGTATTATCACAGAAACACCTGCACCTAGACTCATTAAAAGCCTATACTTTAAAACAAAATTTGTTAACAATGGTTAATTGGGTAAATTAAGGGAGATGAAACACCCCTCAGTTTATTTCCATCCTGAAGCATCTAACATCTCTAAAACTCATTAAGAACTTTTGACTCCTAGTTAAGTGAATAATCCTTTTCAGATACTTTATATATAAGCACCTGTCACGGTTCTTTGAATGAAGGTGTTCGGTACATGTTGATTTGTTCAACAAATAATCCTTGACTATCCCTAGATCCAGACTTACAAGGTTCATCTAGAAGAGGTTTTTTTTTTTTTTTTCCCAGATCAGTCTGGTTTTATTCCTTCCAAACATGTATGAACTTCTTTACTATTATTCTCCCCTACTACATATGATTGTGTGTTAATCAGTTTTACATTACTGTAGTAAATATTTGAGATGATCAACTCATAAGCAAAAAGGTTTGTTTGGGCTCAGAGTTTCAGAGGTTTCAGGGTCACTTGGCCCTATTCCTTTGGGCTGTGGCAACACAGTACATCATGGCAGGAGCATGTAGTGGAGGAGGTGGTTCATTTCATGATGACTGGGGTGCAGAAAGAAAGAGGAAGGTGCTAAGGTCCCAGTGACCCCCTCAAGGGCACAATCCACTGACCTAACTTCCTCCATATTAGGCCGACCTCTTAAACGTTCTACCACCTTCCAATAGTTCCATGGGCTGAGGACCAAACCTTCCACACATGGCCCTTACAGGGCCACTTACCCAAAACACAGCAGATAGAATCCCATGGTCACGACTGGAATTATATGTCCTTCCTCAAGCCCTGGCTAATTCCCACATTCCTCCTCCAACTCAGTCCTGGGCACTCAGTGCTGCCCGAGCTCCCCAGGTCCAGTCACTCTCACACTAACTTAGAAAACCATTTACACCGTGTCCTCTTTTGTAAAACCTTCAAAACTTCTTTCCCCAACCACATTCTCTCAGCTTCTGATTTTGCTGCCAACTTTGCAAAAATAGAAAGAAAAGTTCCACAGGTTCCCACCGACAGGCTTCCCTTCTCTCACATGCGCACATAGATCCCATATTCTTTCCCGTGACTAGGGATGAGCTGGATTGCTGCTAGGATCAGCCTCTCCACTTTCACCCCAGTTCCCATCCTCTCCTCTTGTCTTCCTCTACTCCAGAGCCTCCAAAGGCTGCCAGTCTTGCACAAGGAAGCCAAAGCTTTTACAGGGGCCTACCAGCCCCTATTTGATCTGTCTGCCTGCCATCTCGCTGGCCTCACCTCTTACCCTTGTCCACCCCATTCTACTTCCCTGTTGTCCTGGCTATTCTTTGGACACTCCCAGTAAGACCTCACTCTGGAAACTTTGCACTTGTCAGTTCCCCCACCTTTTCTGCAGATTCTGTCTGTCCCTCCTTTAAGTATTCAGTCACCACCTTAGCCAGGCTGCCACTATCACTACACATACCTCCCCAGATCCTCCCTACCCTTCCCTATTTTTCTCCTCCCTGCTTGTCACCATCCAACTTACTGTCTTCTGATTTCTTGCCTGTATCTCCTTCCCTGCCCCATAGGAGCTCCTCCATTGAATTTTATCTGTGTTCTTTACTGATACAGCCCCATCTCTTAGGTGCCAGGGGTGCAAGAGGTAAACAAGCCAAGTGAGGTCATTACTTGTGTCGAGTTGAATTCTAGCAAGGGAGATAAGTGCTATCAAGAAAATGAAACAAGAGGTTGTAGAGAGGGCTCAAGCGACTCTTTTAGATGGATTTGCAGATGGTTCTGCCCCTCGGAGGAAGAGGCAGCTCTTGAGCAACGTTTTCAGTGGCAAGAAGCAGCTGGCTACATGGAGGTGTGGTAGGGGAGCATCCTGAGCAGAGGGGACAGGTGGGAAAGAGGCACAGATGAGAATGAGTGTGACAAGATGGAAGAAAATAAAGAACCAGGTACCACTGCTCAATGAGCCATTGAGTATAGGAAGAAATTGAAGTAAAGGAAGAAATTGAGGTTGGAGAGGAGGTGGGAGCCACAGGGTCTCATAGGCAGGAGGAGAAGTTTGGATCATATCAGAAACATGATGGGGGTTCATTTGAGGTTTTTAAATAGGAGAGTATGAGACTAATACACAGTATTGGGATCTTGCTGACCAATGCATGGAAAATGAGTTATAGAAGTAGGAGATCCGAGAGGGGTGTCCTCTCTAGCATGGAATATTACACATAGCACATCTCACAATTGGCAAATGGCAAGTGAGGATGGTCTGTGTCAGTCACCCCCTTTCCCTGTGGAGACAGAAACAAAAGAAAAATAGAAACAAAATTAGTAATCAGACTATTTCAAACCCCTGGATTACTTATAAATGAGGGCCACGTTGTTTATGTTCTCAGTAGAGAAGTGAAAAGAGAGGGTGGGAGAAGTAGCAGATGCAGTCTGTTTACTCCAGCTGGCCCTTCAGGGAACAGGAGGACATGGTGCCGATTTCCTGCCATCTATTAGAAAATGAGAGCGCTCTGCCATATTTGGATTAGATGAATTATAACAGTAAATACAGAGCCCAGTCTGCCTGGATTCAACAAAGAAGATGTAAAACAGAAGTTACTCCATTTGGCAAGAAAGGAAAAGAAAATCTTAAAAATGAGTTCCTACTTGTTCTGACTTCAGACACTGCAAATTTTTCTTTTATTTTTGAATCTTGACCATGGTAAATAAAATAACTTGGTCCCTCCTATGTTAAGAAAGTGTCTGCGAGGTGCTCACATAGAATGTGACAACATGTTTTTAAAGGATGGAAATCAAGTCCCTCTGAAGTATTTGCCCCCAAGTATTCCCTATGGCATTGACATCATTTTGAATTATGAGTAATGAACAAGCTTGTGCTGCAAAGCTTTTGGAACTAGAAACAGAATCAGATTCATTCATTAACTTAGTTTATTTGTTTGTGCTAAAGCTCTGAGACACAGGAGTAACATTTCCATTTGTAAATCTTATTATAGAAGCAAAAAAAAGTATTGTAAATGATTTAGGGCTAGGATATTTTAGTGTTTAACATCTTGAAAATGAAAAAACCAAGAAGAAAAATTATAGAAACTATAAAATATTTGCTAGACTGAATTAGAAAGATGAAGTTTTTTTTTTCATACTTGAATCATTTTGCTCCATATGATATTGTATAAATATGGAAAGTACTTAACTTACTAAATCATAGTGTTGGTACAGAGATACTCTTCAGCTTGCAAATATGATGGAAGCTGTGAAGAATAATAAATATAATTTCTTCCCATTAAAAGTCACCAGCCTGGGGCTGGGGCTGGGGCTGTAGCTCAGTTGGTAGAGCGCTTGCCTAACGTGTGAGGCACTGGGTTTGATCCTCAGCACCACATAAAAATAAAATAAAGGTATTATAAAAAAAAGCCACCAGCTTCCTCTTGGTTTTTGTATTTCTTAAATTCCATAGTTGTGGACATTTGAAGTTCATGTGGATTAAATCTAGTTTGCAATTTTTGCCAAAAAAAAAAAAATTCTCTTTCACCATGAAATTATGTGGTTTTGTATTTTTTTTTCCTCTCCGTAAAAACAAAGGAAAACACCTGCATATGTGTGGGTGTTTCATTCCTACATCCCTGGGTTGCTATCAGTAACTATGAATAGGAATCTGTAGGAACTGCTCATTCTGTAAACTAGAATGTTAAGGTCGGATTAGGTGGGAGTAGGACAAGAAGCTGCTCAGAATCTAACCCAAACTTTTAGAGAAGAAGCAATGTTGCACATTTTTGTGGCTTGTCTTTGCTTTCCAGTCCGTCAAATCACAGTTTTAATAATGGTGAGTCTTGGGCTGGGGATGTGGCTCAAGCGGTAGCGCGCTCGCCTGGCATGCGTGCGGCCCGGGTTCGATCCTCAGCACCACATACAAATAGAGATGTTGTGTCCGCCGAAAACTAAAAAATAAATATTAAAAATTTCTCTCTCAAAAAAAAAATAATAATGGTGAGTCTCACTGGGAAGTAGGCAGCACCAGCACACAGCAAACACACTGCAAATATATATGTCCAAATCCTAGCTGCATTCCTTCATGAATTCTGTTCCATGACACCCAAACCTCTCAAAAAAAAAATAATAATGGTGAGTCTCACTGGGAAGTAGGCAGCACCAGCACACAGCAAACACACTGCAAATATATATGTCCAAATCCTAGCTGCATTCCTTCATGAATTCTGTTCCATGACACCCAAACCATAGCCTCTCTGGGAAATCAGAAGTTTCGATTATTTTGACACCTTGCCAGTGATCTTTTATGTCCTCACTAAAGATAAGTAAATTCTGCCCCCACCAAATATCCAGATTTGGTTGCTACCAATTTGGTTGCAAAATTCATTCAATAGACTTTTTTTAATGAAATAAAAAGAAAATTAGATCATTTGCCTGCATGCCTCCAGAACAGCTTGTTTTTCAGTCTGCATTCTTTTGCCCTCATCTACCGCTGATCACTGATCTTCTGTAACAAACTTGTCCTTGCCATGAGGAATCTTCGGACTCTGGAGTTGCATGAAACAAAACCCATCTCCAGCTAAGCAAATTTATCAAAACCATGCAGATGTGGCTTTCAAGTAAGAAATGCTGCAGGCTTTGGGGAGGGACCAGAAGGATGCTGGGAAAGCAAGAAGTCAGCACTTAGTTCTGTCTATTTGTTCTCCTCTCCCCCACCAGAATGCAGGGTCTCTGAAGGTGGGGCAAGGGCTTTGTGTATTGTCTGTTTTCTGTTTTTGTGAGTTGGTTGTTCCAACTGTGTGTTCCTAGTATACACGTGGCTGGCAGGTGAGATCATAACCAGCGAGTTCACAGGACACATCCTTAAACTGGCAGAAAAAATAGCAACGCAGAAAACTTAATCTTTGTGGACTTCTCCATTTGCTGAAATTTACTGGCTGCTCTGTGGTTTTCTCCTCAGTTAGTGGTCAAGGTGCACATGAATGATAACAGCACAAAGTCACTGATGGTGGATGAGCGACAGTTGGCTAGAGATGTTCTGGACAATCTTTTTGAAAAAACTCATTGTGACTGCAATGTGGATTGGTGTCTTTATGAAATATACCCAGAATTACAAATTGGTAAGTCCCTCCCTGGCAACGGGCTGCACTCTAAAAGCCTTGTGGGTTTGCTTTATGGGCTCTGGTAACTTAAGAGTTTGGTTCAAGGCTTGAAGACATCACATATGTCACAGCCGTTATATGAGATTAGAATTTGCCTCTTCATTTCTTTGTGGCAAGAAGACTTAGATTGCAGCAGGTGTCTGGACCTTGAGGGTTATAAGCATTACCATTGCCATTTTTCTCTTAGGTCCATAAGGGAAAGAATGTGGCAGGGTGATTCCTCTTGCTGCATGCCTAGTAAGCTCAGAAGCTTGTGGGAGAGCCTAGGTATCTGTCAGCTGGTGCCCCTGCTGAGGTTGCTGCCTTGGTAACTGCAGACCTCCCATCTGTTCTCATTTCCCTCTTCCTCCCTCCCTGCCTGCCTAATCTCTGATACTTGGTCTATGGAAGAAGCTTAGCTCCAGAGAGGAAAGGACAATGATAGAAATTGATGACGTTTCTTTTTTAAAAAGTAATTTAAGAAATTTTCTGTTACTTCTCGTTTTTATTTTTATACCAGGGATTGAACCCAGGGTGCTTAAACACTTAGCCACATCTCCAACCTATTTTAATTTTTTTTAAATTCCAGATTGGGTCTCACTAAGTTTCTTAGGGTCTTGCTACGTTGCTGAGGTTGGCCTTGAACTTGCAATCATCCTGCCTAAGCCTGTGGAGTCACTGGCATTACAGGCATGTGCCACGGAGCCTGCTTTACTTCTTGTTCTTAATAGCACTGACCTACCATTGCCTTCCAGCAGAACTGGGTGGAACCCAAAATTACCTGTTTTAGAAGTTTGGATGAAATCTTTTTTTCTTTGCAAGAAATAGTCTATACTTAAACAGTCATTTGAAGGTTTCTTCAATTTATGAATCCAGAAGAGGAATGAAAGCCTTCCTTTATGTTTTAAGTTTGCTTCGGGTATTCATATACATTGTTTTTATAGTTTCAGGGAGCTGGTGCTTTAGGGTACACATTGTGAATCTCACAATTGCACTCAAAATCTTGAATAATCTTTGCCCTATTGTCCTTTGCAAAAGAGAATGTTTGCCTTCTTGTAGGGCTATTTAAAGTTAAAAAAAAAAAAGGCTATCATAAAAAGTATGAGAGCTGACCATTGTCATTGTATTGTAGGTACTGTCACCTGTAATGGGTTTTTCTTTTTTATTATTATTATTAGTTGTTCAAAACATTACAAAGCTCTTGACATATCATATTTCATACATTTGATTCAAGTGGGTTATGAACTCCCAATTTTCCCCCGTATATAGATTGCAGAATCACATCGGTTACACATCCATGTTTTACAAATGGAAGATAAATTGAAAACATGCCACTGAAAGATAAACATAATAGGATTGTAACAGTGTGACATCATGAAAGAATTAAGAAAGCCTTGATGAGGCTGCTTAGAATCTGATCTTATCGAAGCAAACACCGAGCGCGGGGCGGCCGAGTTCCGGCTCCCGGAACCGTCCCGGAACCGCCCTGGCTCAGGGCTGCGGAGCCTGCGGAGGCTGCTTCTTGGACCCTGCTACTATCAGAGCATACACCAAGCACTAAGCCGCCGAATTCCGGCTCCCGGAACTGAGCCCACGGGGACTGCTTCTTGGAGCTTACACTTATAGGAGCTTACACCGAGCACGGAGCGGCCGAGTTCCGGTTCCCGGAACTTCCCTGGACCGGGGCTAGGAGCCCGCGGAAACTGCGTCTCGGTCCGGGTCCTGCTGAGGGCCGGTCAGGACTCACCCGTTGCTTGGGTTGCCCGGCAAGGGGAACGAAATGCTGCCATTCGCATAGGATACCAACATGGCAGAGATCTGATGTCATCAGAAAGCGGCGGAGGAGAGATCTTCATCAATACCAGCGGTGACATAAGCAGTTGGTCTCCTGGTGGGGGGGTGAGGCACAGTCACCCGAGTCTCCTCAATTTGTCCTCGAGCCAGAGGGGAGGAGCCGGGCCGCCGCCAGCGCCCGGAGCAGGCCCAGCGGCTCGCCAGCGTGGTGACCACGTGACCCCAATTGGAGAGGGGGCGGAGCGGAGCCACCACCCACACCCACAAGGTGGGCAGACCCGCGACCCAGTGGTACATGGGCGTGGTAGGAGGGACAGGGCAGAGCCGCTGTTTGCGCTTACAAGGTAAACAGACCTGTGACAGCCTGGCGGGTCAGGCCCAGTGGCCTGCCAGTGTGGTACACACGTCACCCCAACTGGAGTAGGGGCAGAGCAGATCCTTCTCCCACGCCCGGATCAGGCCCTGCCGGTGTGGTGGTCACGTGACCCCAATTGGAGTGGGGGCGGAGCGGAACCGCCACCCGTGCCCGCAGGGTGAGCAGACCTGTGACCAACCTGCAGATCAGGCCCAGGGGTCCGCAGGCGTGGTAGGAGGGGCAGGGCAGATCCGCCGCCCGCGCCTCCAAGGTAGGCAGTCCTACAACAGACCGGCGGATCAGGCCCAGGAGCCTGCCGGCATGGTACAAACACCACCCTAATTGGAGTAGTGACAGAGCAGAGTCGCCTCCCGTGCCAGGAAGAGGCCCAGCGTCCTGCAGGCGGGGTAGTCACGACACCCCAATTGGAGTAGGGGCAGAGCAGAGCCTCCACCCGTGCCCGAAAGGTGGGCAGATCTGCGACCGACCAGCGGGACAGGCCCAGTGGCCTGCCGGTACGACAGACACGTCACCCCATTTGGAGTAGGGGCAGAGTAGAGCCGCCGCCTGCGCCTGCAGGGTAGGCAAACCTGCAATCGACCGGCGGATCAGGCCCGGTGGCCTGCCGGCGTGGTACACTCGTCACCCCAATTGGAGTAGGGGCAGAACAGAGCCACTGCCAGCTCCCAGAACAGGCCCAGTGACCTGCCGGCGTGGTAGCCACGACACCCCAATTGGAATAAGGAGAGAGCAGAGCCGCCGCCCGCACCTGAAGGAAAGATACGTAAGCAGTATGAAAAGACAAGGAAAGAAAGGACCACAAGCAATGCAGGTCAACGCAACTTTAGAAGAGATAACAGCTGCAGCAGATGGAATGTCAGATAAAGAATTCAGGATATACATGCTTCAGATGATCTGGAGTATCAAGGAAGACATTAAACAGCAAAATCAGACAATGAAAGATCACTTCGACAATGAATTACACAAACAAATCCAGGAAGCAAAGGATCAACTATACAGGGAGATAGAGGTTATAAAAAACAAGCAATCAGAAATCCTAGAAATGCAGGAAGCAATAAACGAACTTAAAAACTCAATGGAGAATACTACCAGCAGAGTAGAACACTTAGAAGATAGAACATCAGACAATGAAGACAAAGTATTTCAACTGGAAAAGAACATAGACAGCTCAGCAAGACTGTTAAGAAACCATGAGCAGAACATCCAAGAAATATGGGATAACATTAAGAGACCAAACTTAAGAGTCATTGGGATACAGGAAGGTACAGAGCTCCAAACCAAAGGAATGAGCAGTCTATTCAATGAAATAATACAAGAAAACTTCCCAGACTTGAAGAATGAGACAGAATCCCAAATCCTAGAAGCCTACAGGACGCCGAATGTGCAAAATCATAAGAGATCCACACCTAGACACATTATAATGAAGATGCCCAACATACAGAATAAGGAGAGAATTTTAAAAGCTACAAGAGAAAGGAAGCAGATTACATTTAGGGGTAAGCCAATCAGGATAACAGCTGATCTTTCAACACAGACTCTGAAAGCTAGAAGATCCTGGAATAACATATTTCAAACACTGAAAGAAAATGGGTTCCAACCAAGAATTGTGTATCCAGCAAAATTAAGCTTCAGGATGGAGGATGAAATTAAAACCTTCCATGATAAACAAAAGTTTAAAGAATTCGCAGCTAGAAAACCATCTCTTCAAAATATCCTCGCCAAAGCATTACAGGAAGAGGAAATGGAAAATAACAATGAAAACCAACAGTGGGAGGTAGGACAGTAAAGAGCGGGGGGGAAATAATCAAAGAGGAAAACAAACCATGTTTAGTAACAGAAATAAACAAATATGGCTGGAAGAACAACCCATATCTCAATAATAACCCTAAATGTTAATGGCTTAAACTCACCAATTAAGAGACACAGGCTAGTAGAATGGATCACAAAACAAGACCCAACAATATGCTGCCTACAGGAGACGCATTTGATAGGAAAAGACATACATAGGCTGAAGGTGAAAGGTTGGGAAAAATCATATCACTCATATGGACTTCGGAAACAAGCAGGCGTGTCCATACTCATATCAAATAAAATAGATTTCAAGCCAAAGTTAATCAAAAGAGATAAAGAGGGACACTACATACTGCTTAAGGGAACCATACACCAACAAGACATAACAATCATAAATATTTATGCCCTAAACAATGGTGCAGCTATGTTCGTCAAACAAACTCTTCTCAAGTTCAAGACTCTAATAGACCACCACACCATAATCATGGGAGACTTCAACACACCTCTCTCGCCACTGGACAGATCTTCCAAACAAAAGTTGAATAAGGAAACTATAGAACTCAATAACACTATTAATAACCTAGACCTAATTGACATATATAGAGTATACCACCCAACATCAAGCAGTTACACTTTTTTCTCAGCAGCACATGGATCCTTCTCAAAAATAGATCATATATTATGTCACAGGGCAACTCTTAGACAATATAAAGGAGTAGAGATAATACCATGCATCTTATCTGATCATAATGGAATGAAACTGAAAATCAATGATAAAAGAAGGAAGGAAAAAGCATACATCACTTGGAGAATGAACAATAGGTTACTGAATGATCAATGGGTTATAGAAGACATCAAGAAGGAAATTAAAAAATTCTTAGAGATAAATGAAAACACAGACACAACATATCGGAATCTATGGGACACATTGAAAGCAGTTCTAAGAGGAAAATTCATTGCTTGGAGTTCATTCCTTAAAAAAAGAAAAAACCAACAAATAAATGATCTCATACTCCATCTCAAAATCCTTGAAAAAGAAGAGCAAAACAACAGCAAAAGAAGTAGAAGGCAAGAAATAATTAAAATCAGAGCTGAAATTAATGAAATCGAAACAAAAGAAACAATTGAAAAAATTGACAAAACTAAAAGTTGGTTCTTTGAAAAAATAAACAAAATCGACAGACCCTTAGCCATGCTAGCGAAGAGAAGAAGAGAGAGAACTCAAATTACTAGCATACGGGATGAAAAAGGCAATATCACAACAGACACTTCAGAAATACAGAAGATAATCAAAAACTATTTTGAATCCTTATACTCCAATAAATTAGAAGATAGTGAAGGCATAGATAAATTTCTTAAGTCATATGATCTGCCCAGATTGAGTCAGGAGGATATAGAAAACCTAAACAGACCAATATCAATTGAGGAAATAGAAGAAACCATAAAAAGACTACCAACTAAGAAAAGCCCAGGTCCGGATGGGTATACAGCAGAATTTTACAAAACCTTTAAAGAAGAACTAATACCAATACTTTTCAAGCTACTTCAGGAAATAGAAAAGGAGGGAGAACTTCCAAATTCATTCTATGAGGCCAACATCACCCTGATACCTAAACCAGACAAAGACACTTCAAAGAAAGAAAACTACAGACCAATATCTCTAATGAACCTAGATGCAAAAATCCTCAATAAAATTCTGGCGAATCGGATACAAAAACATATCAAAAAAATTGTACACCATGATCAAGTAGGATTCATCCCTGGGATGCAAGGCTGGTTCAATATACGGAAATCAATAAATGTTATTCACCACATCAATAGACTTAAAAATAAGAACCATATGATCATCTCAATAGATGCGGAAAAAGCATTCGACAAAGTACAGCATCCCTTTATGTTCAAAACTCTAGAAAAACTAGGGATAACAGGAACATACCTCAATATTGTAAAAGCAATCTATGCTAAGCCTCAGGCTAGCATCATTCTGAATGGAGAAAAACTGAAGGCATTCCCTCTAAAATCTGGAACAAGACAGGGATGCCCTCTCTCTCCACTTCTCTTCAACATAGTTCTCGAAACACTGGCCAGAGCAATTAGACAGACGAAAGAAATTAAAGGAATCAAAATAGGAAAAGAAGAACTTAAATTATCACTATTTGCAGATGATATGATTCTATACCTAGCAGACCCAAAAGGCTCTACAAAGAAACTATTAGAGCTAATAAATGAATTCAGCAAAGTGGCAGGATTTAAAATCAACACGCATAAATCAAAGGCATTCCTGTATATCAGCGACAAATCCTCTGAAATGGAAATGAGGACAACCACTCCATTCAAAATATCTTCAAAAAAAATAAAATACTTGGGAATCAACCTAACAAAAGAGGTGAAAGACTTATACAATGAAAACTACAGAACCCTCAAGAGAGAAATAGAAGAAGATCTTAGAAGATGGAAAAATATACCCTGTTCATGGATAGGCAGAACTAACATCATCAAAATGGCGATATTACCAAAAGTTCTCTATAGGTTTAATGCAATGCCAATCAAAATCCCAACGGCATTTCTTGTAGAAATAGAGAAAGCAATCATGAAATTCATATGGAAAAATAAAAGACCCAGAATAGCAAAAACAATGCTAAGCAAGAAGTGTGAATCAGGCGGTATAGCGATACCAGACTTCAAACTATACTACAGAGCAATAGTAACAAAAACAGCATGGTACTGGTACCAAAACAGGCGGGTGGACCAATGGTACAGAATAGAGGACACAGAAACCGATCCACAAAACTACAACTATCTTATATTTGATAAAGGGGCTAAAAGCATGCAAGGGAGGAAGGACAGCATCTTCAACAAATGGTGCTGGGAAAACTGGAAATCCATATGCAACAAAATGAAACTGAATCCCTTTCTCTCGCCATGCACAAAAGTGAATTCAAAATGGATCAAGGAGCTCGATATCAAATCAGAGACGCGCCGTCTGATAGAAGAAAAAGTTGGCTACGATCTACAGTCGGTGGGGTCGGGCTCCAAATTCCTCAATAGGACACCCATAGCACAAAAGTTAATAACTAGAATCAACAAATGGGACTTACTCAAACTAAAAAGTTTTTTCTCAGCAAAAGAAACAATAAGAGAGGTAAATAGGGAGCCTACACCCTGGGAACAAATCTTTACTCCTCACACTTCAGATAGAGCCCTAATATCCAGAGTATACAAAGAACTCAAAAAATTAGACAATAAGAGAACAAACAACCCAATCAACAAATGGGCCAAGGACCTGAACAGACACTTCTCAGAGGAGGACATACAGTCAATCAACAAGTACATGAAAAAATGCTCAACATCTCTAGCTGTCAGAGAAATGCAAATCAAAACCACCCTAAGATACCATCTCACTCCAGTAAGATTGGCAGCCATTAGGAAGTCAAACAACAACAAGTGCTGGCGAGGATGTGGGGAAAAGGGTACACTTGTACATTGCTGGTGGGACTGCAGATTGGTGCAGCCAATTTGGAAAGCAGTATGGAGATTTCTTGGAAAGCTGGGAATGGAGCCACCATTTGACCCAGCTATTCCCCTTCTTGGTCTATTCCCTAAAGACCTAAAAAGAGCATGCTACAGGGACACTGCTACATCGATGTTCATAGCAGCACAGTTCACAATAGCAAGACTGTGGAACCAACCTAGATGCCCTTCAATAGACGAATGGATAAAAAAAATGTGGCATTTATACACAATGGAGTATTACTCTGCATTAAAAAATGACAAAATCATAGAATTTACAGGGAAATGGATGGCATTAGAGCAGATTATGCTAAGTGAAGCTAGCCAATCCCTAAAAAACAAATGCCAAATGTCTTCTTTGATATAAAGAGAGTAACTAAGAACAGAGTAGGGACGAAGAGCAGGAGAAGAAGATTAACATTTAACAGGGATGAGAGGTGGGAGGGAAAGGGAGAGAGAAGGGAAATTGCATGGTAATGGAAGGAGACCCTCAGGGTTATACAGTGGAGGAGGTAGAGAGAGAGGAGGGGAGGGGAGGGGAGAGGTGGGGAGGGGGGAGGGGGGAGGATGTGAAAGGCAGCGAAGCACAACAGACACTAGTATGGCAATTTGTAAATCAATGGATGTGTAACTGATGTGATTCTGCAATCTGTGTATGGGGTGAAGGTGGGAGTTCATAACCCACTTGAATCAAAGTGTGGAATATGATATGTCAAGAAATTTGTAACGCTTTGAACAACCCACAATAAAAAATTTAAAAAGAAAAAAAAAAAAAAAGAAAGCCTTGATGAAAACTACAAAGCACTGGATTCGATTCAATAATAGCTTGTTTCTCAGTTGAAAAACCTTAATATCTTAGGTCTGAAAGAATGCTGTTTTCTTATTTCACCAGAGAGGTTGTTTGAAGACCACGAAAATGTTGTTGAAGTCTTATCAGACTGGACAAGAGACACCGAAAATAAAGTGCTATTTTTGGAGAAAGAGGAAAAATACGCTGTATTTAAAAATCCCCAGGTAAGATGGCCTGTATATTGTTAAACCATGTAAAGCATGAAGGAGATTTTTTTTCCACCTGTGTATAGACCACAGTATTATCTTGCAAAATATCACAAATACGTTCAAATGAATACAAACTCAATCTTTGGCTATATAAACCAAGAGCCCTTTGAAGGATTTAGAAAGAAAAAGAAATCCACTTGTTTTCTTTCATTCAGAATCCAAAACATACCTATCTGTGGTTGTCTAACCCTCCCCTTCTATCAGCATTTCTGTTGGGCTCCACTATATCTTGATGGCACTTGGCTACTAATGTCTTCTATTTAAAGATCCTGCCAGGTGAGGTGGTGCATGCCTGTAATCTCCCAGCAGCTTGGGAGGCTGAAGCAGGAGGATCACAAGTTCAAAGAGTTCAAAGCCAGCCTCAGCAAGTTAGTGAGGGCCTAAGCAAGTCAGTGAGACCCTGTCTCTAAATAAACCTTAAGAAGGGCTGGGGATGTGGCTCAGTAGTTAAGTGCCCTGGGTTCAATCCCCATACCAAAAAAAATATCCTCATATCTTTGTTGTTCATATATGTTACTTATTGATGCTGGGATTACTAAAGGGAACACCTAGAAAATGTACAATTTGTTGTGATTTCCTCCTGCAAACAAGTAAAAAAAACATTATTCACCATACTTGAAAATGCTTCCTTCAGGTCATGTGGTATGAGAAGTCTAAACCTTTTCCCACTGTGGCCTTGAGCAACTGTCATGGCATGAAAGTCATTACATGTTTTAGAAAAGTCTAAGAATGTTAGAGATGGAAGAGATTCCCAGGGTCATTCATCCAGACACTTTCCTTTTTACAGATACAATAAACAAGTCCTTTGTCGCTAGGGGCAGAATTAAGAGACTCCAAAGCGGCTCCCTCATGGGAAAAAGCTTTATTGTGCTCTTCTGGGGTCTTCTTGAGATGATATGGTGGTCAACTGACAACAAAGCATTAAGTACTATTGTTTGTGACAAATATCAAACACTAAAAGTATCAAGTTTTCAGCCTATAACGACCTTCAATACCAGATTTTATTGCCTGTATTAATGAGAGTACCATCTAAGCTGCTGTGATAAAGAGACCCCCTAAAACAGTGGCTCAATCAAACTAGAAGCTTATTTCTCAATCACATTCTGGTCCAGACATAAGTGGGTAGAATGGCTCTTCCGTCCTCCATATGTGACTCCCATCTCTGGGCCCAATGCATCTTTTCCACCTCCCATTTTCTAGTCCATAGGAAGAGAGGAGAGAATCAGGGAAATGCACAACCAGACTTCTGCTTAACATTCCATCAACCTGAAGACAGCTACATGATAATATTGAGCTACAAGAGATGCAGAGAAATCTGGTGTTTGTATGAATAATTATACACACAGCAAAATTTGTGGAATTAAATTCATGACTACCATTTTGGATAACTCTTCCACAAAGCACCTTTAAATAGAGTCCATAAAAATGGCACCCAGGAGTTGTGCAGCATGGCTATTATATAGGTAAGCAGAGGAAGGGGAGAATGAGTATTAGTGGATGTCTGCCGTCTGCCGAAGTGTCAAGTGAATTAATGCATCTATCATAATCATAACTGTATGAAATCGTACGAAGTGAACACACCTGGGTAACTACCACCCACATCAAGACACAGAACATTAATGGAGCTCCTCATGGCCCTTCCCAGTCTTTATTCCCCATTACCAAGGTGACCACTATTCCAATCTTTATTATCTTGGTTTTCCCCCTCTTTTTGACATTTATATGAAATGGAATCACACAGTCCTCTTTTGTGTTTAGCTTTTTCCCACTCAACTTTCATTTATGCTGTTGCTTATAACAGTAGCTCTTTTTCACCGTTGTGTTTTCATTCCATTGTGTGACTATATCAGTATATGTTTATTAATTGTGTTGTTGGTGAAAGTTTGACTTGTTTCTAGTTTATGGCTTAAACAAGTAATGCCAGTGAGAATATCTTATACGTGTCTTTTATTGAATGCATGTGGACATTTATCTTGCAGATAGATAGGTATGGAATTTCTGGATCATAAGTTATACTTTTTTTAACTTTAGCAGATACTCTGAGCAGTTTTTCAATATATCCTATAATTTGCTCTCCCTTTAACATTGTATGAAAATTCCTGGGGCTGGGGTTATGGCTCAGCGGTAGAGCACTCGCCTTGCATGTGCGAGGCCCTGCGTTCGATCCTCAGCACCACATAAAAATAAATAAATAAGATAAAGATATGTGTCCATCTACAATTTAAAAAAATGAATAAAAAAAAGAAAGAAAATTCCTGTTGTTCCAGATACTTGGCAGCCCTTGGTGTTTTGTTTTTCCTCTTAACTTTAACCATGCTGTGAGTGTGTAGTGGCATCTCCTTTGGTTTTTAAGTTGGATTTTCTCAATGCCCGTGATTCAAGTACCTTTCAAAATGTTTATTATCCATTTGAATATCCCACTTTTGTGAAGGGTCTCTTCAAGTCCTTTGCCAGCCTCTCACCTGGGGTTAAGTATCAACAAATACCCTGAGAGGAAACATGGCTCTTAGAAGGTCTAGATATCTCTTTGTGGTTTCTTTCTGTCTTGGATTTTGACTCTGTGAGTCTCTAATTGCCTCAATAGCTCTTCAAAGCCTTCATGCTGATTTTAAAAATTTTTTTTAGTTGTAGATGGACACAATACCTTTATTTTATTTATTTATCTTTATGTGGTGCTGAGGATCCAACCCAGGGCCTCACACATGCTAGACAAGTACTCTACCACTGAGCCACAAACCCAGGCCCAATACTGATTTTTTTTTTTAATCCAGCTTGTCTAGCTGGGTTTTTTTGTGGAGTTTTGGTTTACTGTAAGCTATTCTATCGTAGAAGGAAATAGAAATCCTCCTTAATGAATTCTTTTGGATAATGGTATGTTCTTAAAAATTCAGCAACTAGATTCTTTTAATCTGCAACCAATTTAAAGACCAAAACTAAAGTATAGGCATTCTTAAAATAGTCAGGTTTTTTCAGTATTTGGCTGAATTCTGTCTTCTGATCAGTGCCTTGCATAGGTAGTGGCTTCAGCATGCTGACCCCCAGAGTAAGAGAAGTACATTGTGCTGGTTCCCATACTGATGTCTCAGCCCTTAAAAAGGGAGGCTTTGTGATTTTGAAATACCTAAAATTTCCTTGTATAAGTTCTGTTGTTGAGACCCTTTGATGATTTTTAACATAAGTCTTTTTTTAATGGTAGATTTATGGTGAGAGTAAAAAGCCCTAGAGAAGTATATTTCCAGAGGAAGATTTTAATACAAATATAACCAGAAAATTCTTTCATTGAAGTGCCTTAGATTTTTCTCCTCAAGCTTTGTCTCAAGCTGGTAGCTGAAAAGTCCAAATAAACCTGTCTTTCATTTAGGCTGTTAATTATTTTTTTAGGTGTAATTGCCAACATTGGTATGAAATGATGAGTCCTGGGATTAGAGGAGCATAACAGGGAGCTTCTACTCCCAGGTCAGGGCCATGTCAGTGAGGATTCAGGCTTGATCTTCCTACTCAACTGGTCCAAATCGTGGCACCTCCTAGAACATATTTGAAGAGCTAGTAAGAAACAGTACATGAAGAATTGGATCTAACCAGAATCATAAAATGAAAAGACAGATTCTGAGTGACTTATTTAGTAGTCTCCACAGAAGTTGCCAACGTATTGAACATCTTCTCCATGTTGACCTGTATGAAGAGACTTTAATGAAATTTATTCCAACGGACATTTGTTTGACTTTCATAAACATTTATGGAGCATGTTACAGGTATAACCTTGTGCTACTTGTGGAGAATATGTAGATTAAGATAATCCTTACCTTTGAGAAATTGATAATCTAGCTGGAGAAACAGACGTGCAAAAATGTTTGACACAAAACTTCTAGGTTTAAGATGGGGGCCATATGGGATAAAATTACAGGATGGTATATACTTCAGATGAAGTCCCAGTGCACAAAATTCTGTGAACAGAGCAGAAGATCCTCAGTAATGGTCTATGATGAGAAGTGTAGTTTTCCAATTACTGCATTAGTTGGTAATACTCAAGAAGTTAGGGAAGGTATCTCATCAATAAAGCAGTAAAACAAGGAAGTAGGCAATTAAGTAACTCCTCAGCCTTAACCCTAAGAAAAAATATATTCTCCACATAGAGCCATGGTACTTTTGATGGATATGGCTTATTCCCACCACTCGCTGCCCAAGGGTCCAGGTGTGGAAAGCTTGGTCTTCAGTGCAGTGATGTTGGAAGAGAGAACTTTTGAGAGGCAGGACCTCGTGGGAGGTCCTTGGGTTAATCGGGGCACTGCTCCTAGAGAAGAGTAGGGGAGTTCTCATAAAAATGAAGAAAAACAGAATAAGTCCTATTTAATTTTCCTGATGATTGCTGCTATGCACTATCCTGTTGAAGAATAGGAATTAGTCTGGGTGCACAGATGCTGCAAGCTCCATGCTATAAGCTGTCATGGAGATGATTTGATCAGAACAGATACTGCTCTATTTGGAATTTTTCCAAAATGAAACTGAAAACATACAGAAGTGTATCATGGAGCCAAAGACAGAAGGTAGGGCCAGGCCTCCCTGTGTCTGGGGCTGGAGATAATGTTATTGAGACCACGATTAGCATCTTGGTCCCAGCCTTCCCGTGGACCCTATCTCTATCACACTCTGTCCCTGTCCACAGCTATGTCACTCCTTTCTCTCCCTGTAGACCCTCTTCCTCTGTTCTCTCCTTCATTCCCACACAGCCATTTATGACAATCCTCACACAGTAGCTCCATCTATGAATGGAGTTCAAACTTCTATGTTTGCATAACCTCTTTAAAAAGTTTGTAGAAACATGTACCGCTCAGATATTTGCCTGTTGACTTCTAATTTTTTCATCAGAAGTTTAAGCAGATGTAAAGAATGCAATGTCCAGCATATTGTAAATTTTGGAAGTTTTAAAAGGTATCGAATCCAATTCTGGCAGTTTAAAAAGTATCCAATGCTTACAGTAGTATTCCCGTGGCAGTTTGATTTCTAAGTATGAAGTATGAAGTTTCCTCAGAAGACTAGGAATGGAACCACCATAGGACCCAGCAAACCCATTCCTTAGTATTTAATCCAAAAGAACTAAAATAAGTGATATATTCATAACAATTTTTATAGCAGCACAATTCACAATAGTCAATTTATGGACCAGCCTAGGAGCACATCAACAAACAAATGAATAAAGAAAATGTGTTCTATATACACAATGGAATTTTAATTCATGAAATTTTAGCTGATACATAGAAACATAAAAATCATGCACATACATGTGGTACCATGTAATACCCATGTTTGCTATGTGTACACATTGTGTAAGGTTCAAACAAGGATATGTCTTCAGTCATCATTTATTTAAGGTTAAAACATTCAAAATGCTTTCTTTTAGCTTTTTGAAATGTCCAGTACGTTCTTATTATCTATAGTCATCCTACTGTGCAATGACACATCAGAACTTCTTATTTCTACCTAATTGTAATGTTGTGCCCATTATCAACCTCTAATTCCTACCCATTATCAACCTTTCCCCCTCCCTAGAGTTTTAATTTTAATCCTTTTTAAGTGTACCCTTCATTGGTATTTAGTGTATTCATATTGTTGTGCTGAACTGTTTCCTACCACATATAGCATTTTTTAAAAATGTTTAGTTGTCAATGGACCTTTATTTTATTTATTTGTATGTGAAGCTGAGAATCAAACCCAGTGCCTCACGCACACTAGGCAAGCACTCCACCATGGAGCCACAACCCCAGCCTCCCATATATAGCATTTTAATGCTGAAAAAAATTAAGAAGAACCCAAAGCTCTGGAACTAATTAGCCTTAAGTAAATCACATAATCCTCAGTTTCCTTATTTGTAAAGCAGCATTAGCAATAGTACCTATGTTCCAAAGTTCTTGTAAAAATGAAATGAAAAGCATACCCATAAAGCCTTAGCATAGAGTTCCCGCAGGTAATATATGTTATTTAGTATAATTAGTTATAATCCTCAAGCTAATCATGTAAAATTAAAATAGTTTCATGATTCTTATATTATAATCACAGGAATTCACAACATACTGTCTTTTGGAACAATAAGTAAAAGTAAAAAGATCTAGAAAAAAATACATTAAAAGAAAACTACTTTTCAGTAAGAATTCTCAAAGCGGGCTGGGATTGCTCAGTTGGTAGAGTGCTTACCTCGCATGCACAAGGCCCTGGGTTCAATCCCCAGCACTACAAAAAAAAAAAAAAAGGATTCTCAAAGGAATTGCACTTGACCTATTTCCCCTATTTAAGTCAGAAAATCACTGTTTTTACTCATTGCATTTCTGGGTTTATGCTAATTCTGTAGATCTGATTTGCCTGTAGTTCGATTCCTAACTTTCTGTCCTGTACACTTGGTTCTTAGACTACAGTGTACATAATAATCCAGGAAGGACATTGAAATGTAGGTGGATTTTCCCTGGAGATTCCAGGCCAGTAGGTTGGGAGCCCGGGAACATACATTTTATTAGATATTAAAGTGATCTGGGGGTCACATTTGGAGAAACACTTCTATGGTGTAAGTAAACATTTGTATCTAGATTCAGAAGGGTCCCTAATTTAGATACTGTGCTCCTGAGGTTTAATTTCTACTCTGAGTACATTTTTTCATGTATTATTTTATAAAATTCTATGCTTTCACATAGAAGTCCTCAATACTTAAATTGTGACAGTGGTCACATATAACATTCGCTCTGTGTGTGGGTACCTCAGCTGTACTGATTATGTAAAAATTAGTCCTTGATTGCTGATGATGTTTTAGAAACTCAAACACTTTGTTTTTAACTAGCTCATTGATATTCAGTATTAACAAGATTTGATGCATGCATCAACACAAACCATGCTCAGAGCACAGGCACCCATTTGTGAATGCTTTTGATCATGGTCACCCCCGCCTTTGTTTAGGCTGCTCCCTTCAGAACTGTCCTTTGCCCTCCCTCTTCCCTCAGTGGTTTCCAAGTAGCCCTCCATTGTAATGTACCCACCAATTTAAAAAAATAATGAAAGCAGTCAGCAACACTTACAGAAATCCAGAATTCAAGCTTCTCTTGAGAAATTAGAATCTCCAATTGGCAGGGCCCTGGGCTCTGGTGAGGCATGCACCAGAGAAGTTCCCCTCTTGTACTTGGGACATGAGCTCAACCTTCACTCCAGTCGGAGGCTCTTCCTGGCCCTTGAGGGTCTCTCAGCTTCCAGCATTTGAAACCAATGCTCTTGACTATGACATTTAAAAATTAAATGATGTCACATCCTTTGCTAGTGTTTTCTATCTCATTTCCTCATTGATTGTACACTATAAGAGGGAAGGAGAGAAAGTTTAGCTTTTACCTTGGTGATGCAGTAGTCACTCCTGCCAGTTAACTAGTGGTCAGCTGTATACACCAAGGTTCCCTGTTTATTTACGTGTACCTACGTCTTCTTCTACGACTTTGACTTCCTTGCAGTGTCTAGCCTAAGAATGAACACTTGCTGAACTGATCTTTTAATATTTTATTTAGAATTTCTACTTGGATAACAAAGGGAAAAAAGAAAGCAAGGACTCCAATGATAAAATGAATGCTAAGAACAAGGAATCCTTACTGGAGGTAAGCTTAATTTTGCAGAATGGTAGAAAAGAAAAAAAAAATTGCTCTATCTATTTTTAAATGATTTGCTCCCCAGAAGAATGGGAAATTCTGAGACATGCCCTGACATTTTAACTTGGCATTTTAAAATCAGATTATCACTAAATAACAGCTTTTTTAAATAATTAAGCTGTTCCTTTGAGTCCATTGTAATGAAGTGTGGCTTTAGATAACATAGTTTGCTTTTCATAAACTCATCTGCTCACTCATCTGTGTTTTATTACTTGAATGATCCACAGAACTCAGATGGATTTCTAAATCTTCTGAGAAGCTCCTCCAGCAGCCAGATTTGATAGGAAGTGTGAGGTGTGCAGTTAGAGATCTGATACAGGATGAGGTTCTGCCCAGTGTGCTAATGGGCAAGTCTGTGAACAATGGCTTCTAGATTGTATTGGATCGTCACAGAGACCCAGGAAGATAGGAAAAGTTCAGATGTCCAGATGGTGATCACTGCTAGGGAAAATTCCAGAAGTTCACTTGATGATTGTTTTTTTGGAAGACTCCTAATGAGTTTTTCCTTAGTAACTATGCTAAAAAAATCTCTGCTGTGTTCCCAGCCCACAATGCAGATGAAAGTATCAGGACACAGGTCACAAATGGGTATACTGGAGCCCCAGACAGGTTTTATTTGCCCCTGACAGAAGGTTGATTCTTTTCTTGAGTTAGTAGATTTTGGACATCTCTAGAAAATTCAGAAGACTTGGTGGTGCTTTGGCCCACATTTCTCCTGGGGTCAATTTGTTAACACTGAAGAGAGCTCTCTCCTGTCTATCAAAGTCTATCCAGGCCCCTATTCATGTTTCTCTTTCTTCTCAAGCTCTGTCAAGCCCTTACCAAGTGAACCAGACTCCAGAACCTTGCAAGCCATTCCTCTAAAGGTCCTGAGTACACGTTTGAAGTTCTGGTTCCTGGGGCTGTGGGCAGAGTGGGCATTTCCTAGTGAGATCCAACAGTAAAAGTAGAGATGTTCTTCTTGCACATACCAAACAAGACTCGGGGTTCAGTTAGAGGATATTAGGCACAGGTGTCCCTGACAATAAGGAGATAAAGGATTCTGAACACACCTAGCAGAAATGGAGACTGACAGACATGAAAAGGGAATATTTTCCTGACACTGCTATTTGTTTTTAATCAGTGCTTAGAAACAAGCTATCTGTAAATTGGGCACTGATTATGTAATGATTGATACAATTGCCTGAGTAGCCCTTATGAACTTGAAGGAGCTCTTTATTTGAAAGAAGATGGAAAGAAATCCTGGAAAAGATGATATTTTCTTTTACGGGCTTCTGGAATTTATTATGTCCCCAAAGGAAAGATTAAGGTTAGCATGTTAGAATTCCTATAGGAATTCAGCAGTATTTTACAGTTGGATGTGAAAAAAAATACAAAGTATGTTATGCTATGAAAAATAACACTGCCTGGTTAATTTGGGCCAAAAAATCTGAATAAATTTAACAGATTGACAGGTCAACTAAACTAATAATTGGGGAGAGCAAAATGTAACAAAAACATTCTCCAACTCTACTACATATAAATTTACTTGGGGATTCAAATTAAGTTGTTTGTATTTATAGGACCAAAAGAAAGAATATTGACAGTTATAAACAGAAAGCAAAAGATAGTTTGAGTTTTGAACTAAAAAGATAGAATAATATATAATTTTATTCTATTGTTTTTAAAAAGAAATGTTAAGAATTATCTAATCCAATGCAGATTTTGAGATTTTAAAACATACACCTAGAAAATGTGCTTTGTTTTTCCTTTCTGATATCATAGTGTTAATAATTTCTATCTCCATTTTTTGAAAACTGTCTCAAGAACAAAATATTAACTTATTTTATACATAGAATTATATAGTTTTTCTATTTATGAGCAGCAAAATAGTAATTTTTATTTACCTAGAAAGTAATCATTTTTCAATTTTTCAATTTATAATAACATATGTAGACTTTATTGAATGCTTAATTTTACATTATACCAAAATTTTACTAACAACCAACTTTATGAAGATTGGCTTATTATTCCGTTGGTGCATGTAAAGGAACCGAGGTTTAATGGTCCACAGTCACTGAGCTCAAAGGTCAAGAAACTTTGGTGTCCAATTCAGGACCCAGACTCTTGACCTCTGTGCTATACTTTCTTCTCTTTGGGCAAAAAGCATATACTGTAAACATCTGCATTCAATCAGAGTTGTAGACAAAATTGGCTTTCACTTTAAAGGCTAACTTGAAAGTTTGTGTAAATGTGAATAAATGTGTGTTTTACCTTTTGTGTTTTATGTCTTTTGAATCTCAATTTCAGGAAAGTTTCTGTGGAACATCTATCATTGTACCAGAACTTGAAGGAGCTCTTTATTTGAAAGAAGATGGAAAGAAATCCTGGAAAAGACGATATTTTCTTTTACGGGCTTCTGGAATTTATTATGTCCCCAAAGGAAAGACTAAGGTTAGCATGTTAGTTTTCCATTACTGTGACAAATTACCTAAGGTAATCAACTTAAGAAGAAGAAAAGTTTATTTTGGTTCACCGTTTTGGAGGATTCAGTCCATGGCCAATTATGCCTTTGTTTTGTGCCTGTGTTGAGACAGCACATGATGGCAGGAGTGCATGATGGAAGAAGGTCTCATCTCAGTGAGAAGCAAAGGAGAGGAGAGACCAGGGTCCCACAATCCATTTGAAGGGACACCACCAATGACCTAACTTCCTCCCACTGTGCTCCACCCCCTGAAGGCTCCACCCCCTCCCAGTAGAGCAACAGGCTGGAACCACACCTTTAACATGAGGGTCTTTGGGGGACATTCCATATCCAAACTGTAGCAATCAAAAAGAAACAAAAATAGCACAATAACAGCAACCCAAAAGGAACAATTTAGCAAGAAGCATTTCATGGAAGTAAAACTACAGAAACGCCTCAGGTAGCAATTTGAATATACCCATTACTGTTGGGATCTGTGGTACTAATGTTTATACAAATACATATCCTACGAGACAGAATTACTGGAATACTTTTGAGTTTTCCCATAACTCTCTCTCTCTTGAAAGTGATATAAAAGTAAGTCATGTTTCAAAAATTAGGGCAGAAGCAGTTTTCTGGAGATTGTTTTGTTACTTTCTGTCTATTTATGAAGACCTTTTTCCTCCTGAATTCACTTTCTTGTTCTATAGTCCTTGTGATAAAACTTATTTTATCTAGAATCATAGAGGTATTGGAAGTCTTAATAAGATCTTCACTGAGATTTTATCCCTTACACTCTGAATATTAAAATTGTTCTCTGAGGTATATGCATTTCTCTGCCTAATTTAACAGAGTACTTTAGATATAGTTTAGCTTTTATTTGTTGAGTTGGGATTATTACCACAGTCCATAAGCATATAGTAAATCCTTCTTTGAAATGAAATCTTAACATTCATTATGCCCATTAGCTTTTCCTGAGACCTTTCTTAGTGGTATATTTCCATCTTTTGTTCATCTTTAAAAACCTTTAGGATATACCACGTATCTGTGTCTGGGGTAAACCAAATCCAGGGTACCACCAAATGGCACATTTATGAATTGCAGGCTTCCTCTGATAAGGTTTAATCCACATTCCCAAGCAGGTGAAGCAACCATGAATGTCAAGGTCTGTCCCCATTAGTGAGGAAATTTATAATCTGTGGAAGGGGTGCAGTAAAACTACTGCTTCTCCCTTAGCCTCTTGTACTCTGGTCTCAATCTTAGAACCGATACTTTCCCCTCTGTGCCATCTTCATTCCAGTCCCACACCAAGGATTTAACCCAAAAATAACTTTTGTATTATAGAAATTTTTTGTCTTGAACATTTAAATATAAGCAGTATTTATAATTAAGCCTTTAGAATCTATTTCCTGTGATAAAAATTAGAAGAGTACACATTAGATACCCTCTCGTTGCTGCCATTGTCATTGAGATGTAGGAACTAATGAGCAAGTCCAGGAAAAGAATAAGAAGTATAATTTAGAAAAAAAAATAAGCAAAAATTCTCATTGTTCCTGGTTGATATGATTGTCTACTTGATGATATGAGAAATTCACCTGAAAACTATTAGGAGCAAATAAATTTACCAAATAAGAAATTGTTTTCTTTTCCAAAAGCAACATGCAAATTAAACATAATGCAAAAGATTCCATGCATAGTAGGAATGAAGAATACAAAATACCTAGCAATAAACTGAACAAGAAATGTTCAAGATTTGCTTATCATAGAATATAAAATTTAATAAAAGAAGTGAAGTAGAATTGAATAAATATCAATGTACCATATTACTAGAAGAAAAGATACATGTCCCCAAATTTTTCTATAAATTCAATGTAATCTCTACCAAATTTTCAGTAGGATTATTTTTACTTAAAATTCACAAGCTGATTCCAAGATTAATCAGAAAGAGATACTGTTCCAAAACAGACTCCTAAAATTGTAATGAAATTTGGGCTAGAACCTGTTCTCCCAAAGTTCAAAGCATTAAATAAAAATAACACAGGTAGACAGGAATAGATCACAGAAAACTCTCTCTCATAAGGGAAGTCAAAATTGGCATTTGCAGCAGTGGGAAACAATATGGTATTCAGTAAATAGTGATGAAATAATTGTGTATCCATTTGGAAAAAATAGTTTTCCTCATCACTTCATGTACCAAGTTAAATCCTAGATTGATTAAAATGTCCCTAGGAAAAAGATAGTATAAAACCATAGAAGAAAATAACGGTTATTATTTTCATAATTGGGGACTGAGGACAGCTTTTTTTATAAGAAATAAAAATGCAAAATTATAAAGAAAAGAATCTTGACAGATTTGACTATATAGAATTGTTTTAAGTTTCTTGTGGTCAAAGATACCAAACAAGATATTAAAGACTAGACTCAGGGTTGGGAATATAGCTCAGTTGGTAGAGTGCTTGTCTTGCATGCAAGGCCCTGGGTTCAATCTCCAGCACCACACACACAATAAAAGACTAGAGTCAATGAGTACATTTACAGCATGTATAACCTAGTATGTATATCCATAATAAGAAGAAATTTCAAAACATCAACAGGAAAAACATAAATGTGCTGTGAAAAAATGAGAAAGAAAGCCATTGACCATTGGCATGCTGACACTATCTATAGTCCCAGCTACTAGGGAAGCTGAGGCAGAGGAGATCTTGAGCTCACAAGTTTGAGACCAGCCTGGGCAAAAAAAATAATAATTTAAACAATTAAGAGTTGTTTGTAGCTGGCGGTGAGGCTCCGTGGTAAAGCACTTGCCTCGCATGTGTTGAGATCCTGGGTTCAATCCCCAACATGGTTAAAAATACGAGAAGAAAGAAAAATGGCAACGCTTATTAAGTGAGAATTCTCAGAAAAAGAAAAACTAATAAAGACTGAACAAAAGTTGTTCTATTTGAGGCTGGAGTGTAACTCAGTGGGAAAGCACTTGCCAAACAAGCAAGGAGGCCTGGGTTCAATACGCAATGCTGAAAAAAATTGCACATATATATATATATATATATATATGAATGTATGTAGGTGGGTACATCTAAACACACATAGTAGAGAAATGTTTACTCAAAAAACATTTGGAGGAACATTTGCACACTCTTAACTGTGGTACCTCAGAAAGGAGTATGAAAAAGAGGTGGTGAAAGAAGGTGTACATTTTATTATATTTTTAAATTATGACAAGTATGCATTATTTTATCATCAAAAAAATTAAAACTCCAAGAAATCCAGAAGAAAATAAAAATAAATAAATAAATAAATACACTACTATACATACAGGAATAATTGCATACCAAGGTATAGCAACCTTGCCCTTTGTTCTTAATTCACTGACAATGTTAAGAACTATATAGAAGGCAAAGCAAAAAATAATAATAATAATGGAACAAATGTGTAATTGAAGTGTAACCAAATGTGTAGATTAGAGGTTGTATCTTACCAAGGCAGAATTTCAGTGGAGGAGAGGCCTCATGTTTCCATGGCAACCCCAAAAGTAGTAAAGAGAAAGCAAGAAAGAGACCCTTTTTCTCAGGAGGAAGTGCGTGGAGTGCATGATAATTTACTGAGCATCTCATTTCCCTCTCGTTGTTCATCCAGAGGGGAATATTTTAAAATGCTCAGTCACAAAATCTTTCACTGACTTAGAATGGCGAAGGCCAAAATGAAATTTCTGACCAGGGGTCTCCCCATCTTGACTCATCCAAAGCCACATCTGGAAGTCAGCTGGTTCTGACTCTGGGAGTCCCTGGGCTATAGCAACAGTGTCACTTTACTGCATTTGGGGGCATGTGGTCTTGCCTTTGTTGAATTTACTCCTTTACCTTTTATGCAAGCTTGACTTAGAGAAAACTAACTGCATGTGGTAGATGTTCATATAAATTATCAAAAATTCAATATTTTCTCTACTAAAATGAAATCCTTTTTTGTACCACCAAGAATAACCTTGGAAAATTATTAACTGTTATCTCAATTGAGTTGATTTTTTTCCCCTCTCTTTCAGACATCTCGAGATCTGGCATGTTTTATACAGTTTGAAAACGTCAACATTTACTATGGGATTCATTGTAAAATGAAATATAAAGCACCCACTGACTACTGCTTTGTTTTAAAGGTATGTGGTAAGAAGTCCTTCATTTAGATTTCTGAGCGATTTGGTTAATATTTTCTTTTCAGGAAAAAAAAAGTAAAATGTTGTATAGTTAACCATAAATGTAACATAGTATATTTTTTACTATTAAAGCAAAGTAGGGGGGCTGAGGTTGTGGCTCAGTGGAGGAGCGCTTGCCTAGAAGTGTGAGGCACTGGGTTCCATCCTCAGCACCACATAAAAATAAATAAATAAAATAAAGCAAAGTAGGGAAGGGGAAAACATTTCTGTTCTTTTAATATCTTTATTTATTTTTATGTGATGCTGAGGATCGAACCCAGGGCCTCACACATGCTAGGTGGGCACTCTACCACTGAGCTACAGCCCCAGCCCCAGGGGAAAACATTTCTATCAACTTGAATCATTTCCCCTAAGCCTGCTATCTGGACCTAAAACTTCAAAGTAAATCTATCTGGGATTCTGCCTCACTGCTGAAAATAAAAGTTCCATATTTTGAAAATTTTAATTTATAAATTAATTGATGAAACAGAAAAGTTTTCAGTTCTTTATTTATTGGACTCTTTTTATACTGTAAGAAGTTTTTAGAAATTAGGAACTTGCCAAGATTTTCTAGAAAAAAATAGCAAATAGCAAATAGCAAATATAATTTTTTTAATTATTACTAGGTTATGAAACTTTTTAAGGTGTGTATTGTCAAAAGGTAGTGTATATTATCAAAACCCTATTATCAGGGTTTTGGCACCATTTACAGGTTTTTAAATTGGAATCTCAGATCAGTTAGGTCAGTAGATGTGTTATGCTTATAAACCACACATGTGACATATTGAAGATCTTTAGACCTACAGAGTTCTGGGGTTAGGACCATGGTAAGTTTTTGTTCCTGGTTGTTCTTAGTCAAATCTTATTATTATTCAATCATATTTAATAATTTTGAGACTCTGGAAACTTGCTATCATTTATTGTAATCAAATAATAATTGGTTGAAATTGTCACCTTCATTATAGACTCATATTTATAGTTTTCATTTAGACATCTTAGCCCTCCTTCTCATTATGGAACATCTACTTTTAGCAATTTATAAATGATATTAATAATAACAAACACTATACCAGCTTAGTCATCCTGACTCTTCCCCAGTAGTTCTCAGTCTGGGGTATTTGCCCCTCGGTAGACATTTAGCCATGTCAAGAGACATTTTTGATTATCAGAATTTGGGGCACGGAGCAGGTACTACTGGCATCTGCTGGGAGTGGTCAGGGTCCCTGCTAAATATCCCTCAAAGTGCAAGACAAGCCCAGGCCAAAGAATTATCTGTCTCCAAATGTCAACTGTGCTGCTGCTGAGAACCTCTACCCTAGACAGAACAGCCCCAGAATAACTGCTGTGAAGGGGCTGAAGGAAGGGAAAGGGATGCGTCCATTCACTCACTCACTCATTTAATATTTGTTGAATGACAGCTATCTTCTGGGCACTGTCCCAGGTGCTGGGAACACAGAAGTTTCATGGAATTTGTATACCATGTAAGGGAAGTGGTTATGAACAAAACGCAAGTAATGTGTCCAGGTAATTAATAAGACTGTGGATCGGTATGAGGCAGAGTAGAGGATAGAGGGCTTGTTTGGATGGGATGATCAAAGAAAGGCAGTGACATTTGAGAAAAGATGTGAACGAAGTGAGACAGCAAGAATCCCCTGGAGGAGGAGCATCCCAGGAACAAGACCAGTAAGAACAAAGTTCCCAGGAGAGGTCAGTCTAGGCCAGAAGGAAGAAGAAGGTGGCTTCCGGTTCTTACATTTCTTGTCTGTTCCTTGTATAGGAAGGATAATAAGAATAATGGAAACATTTATGTAGCATTTAGTTTACTTTGCAGATGTGGAACCTGAGCACAGAGACTCCCTGGCCACTAAGTGGGCCATTATGAGTCATTATGAGAACCCAGATTGGTGGCTCCAAGGCAGTTCTCTCAGACACTGCTCACTAGGCCACCATAGACCTGGACACAAAGCACTGTGTGTCACCCTTCTGTCCACAATGCCACCTGTCCTTGAACTATGTCTTCTCTGCCTTCCTATCTGACCTGGTGGTCCTTTCTTGGAATTCTAAGACTCTGAGTGATTACCAAAGTGGAGGTTCTCAATTCCATGGGGACATTGCAACACAGTTCATCTCTGAACTGTTGTCCACATTTCTTAAATAGGGAAAAAGTTTGAGGAAGAGTTTCTGAAATGCTGCCCAGTAAATTGGCTGAACTGAAGTCACTGGAGGCTTGTTAATATGCAGGTTGCCAGGCTCCGGATCCACTAAATCAAAATATTTAAGGATGAAGCCCAGCAATCATTTTTCCTAAGCACAGTCAAGTTTTGCATGTAGTATTAACATGTGTCTCAATACTAAATAACAATATTCAGGGCTTATCTGGTGAAGAAATATCCTTTGAAGTGGCAGATGGAAGGGATATCTAGTAGAAGAGACCAAGGACCAAATCCCAGGACTAGGATCCAGAGACCAGAGCAGGCATGTGTAGCAAGAGAAAGACAAGATCTCAGACCAGAGGTCCCTGGATGGAGATTTAGACAGTCAACAGGATAGAGACTGTATTTTATATCCTGTTTCACAAGTTTGTGACCAGGTCCTATAATCCTAAAATCATCTAAATTCTTTGACCTGGGAAACCAGGTTCTCCAGGGCTGCACCAAAAATCACAGTTCTGAACTAGAATTTAAAAAGCTCTCCTATATAAGGAACCACCATTGTCTTCTGGGAAAAATTATGTTTTTATGGAGATCTTTAAAGAGATAGTGGAGTCCCATGGAAAGAGCACTGGAATTATGCCACATGGCTCACCTGTTACCTACCCTTCATTCTGCTAGATTTTCTTCACATGATTTTCATCATGTGAAATTATATTACTGCTTTGCATTTTCATTGGCTTTCTCCCTGAGCAGGGACTCTTTTATTGTCGCCACCACTTTGTTCTAGAGCCTCAGTCAGTATTTGACACATTGCAAGAGCTCAGTACACATCCGATGAAAGGTTGGATGGGTGGATGGATGGGTGGATGGACAGATAGGCCCCCTTTCCCACTGCGATCTTTGAAACCTGGTTCTAGCATTGGTAACATTAAGGGTAATAAGTTCCTAATAAGTAATAAGTTCTTAATAAGTTCAGGGGTCAAGTTACTGAGTCTTTTCTCACATTATTTCATTTAAGCTTTTCTTGACCCCTTTTGAGAGGTACTGTCACCCCTATATCATAAAAATGGAAACAGAAACTCAATGAAGGTTCATGAACTTGGCCAAAGTTATTCAAGCTCATTAGGTACAGAAATGTGTTCTCTTGAAAACAAACCCTCTTTACTACCTATCTTAACTTTCTTAGAACTGAGCTTCTGGATCAACCTTCCCCATTACTCAACCCCTTTTCTAGCTTGCTCAAGAGTCGTGCCACATTTGAGGTTGTTCACTTGAGCGAAGTCACTCACTCTAATTCTTGAGTATGATCTTTGCTGACCTTCTAGGTCATTCTTGCCTTCACAGATGTTACCAGTGTTTGTCCTGATTTCTTCTTAGTCTTCCACCTCATCCCCAGACATCTTCAACACTCTTCTCCAGTGGTCTCACCCACAAACATGTCACTCAGCCCACTTAGCTGACGAAAACAGTGAACAGGACTGAATAGCTCCAGTCACTTCCCAAACTTACTGAACACAGAAACTGTCCCGTTGCCAACTTTCTTTCTACCTCAGAGGCTATGATAGCACCCCTGGGGCCAAGACACCAGCGACATCATTTTGCTTTAGCATCTCCAACCTTTTGCCAGAGAATTCTCCCCCTTGGGCCACGAACATGTTCAAGCATTCCTTGGTTTGGGATTCCAAGTCATCCCAGTTTTATCTGTCCCACCCTTTCAAGCAAAGGGTGGAGATGGCCTCTTCCTTCCCTGGAACTCAGATTTACTGAGTCACATGGTCTCTGTGTCCTCTTTCACTCTGGGAGGATAATTCACTTGTTCAAAAAAATTTTTTTTCAAATCTACTTTTATTCAAGGCCCTGAGATACATCAGTGAACAAAAGAGACCTCTGGCTTTGTGGAGTCGGCACGCTAACAGGCTTATCCCTCCAGTTCTACTGAAATTCATCGTTAAAATTTCCAGCAAACAGTGCTTTCCCCAGTCCTCAGGCTTCTGGACCTCTTGACGTCTTTGGCACGGGTGACCACTCCCTCATTTTATCATCTTCAGCCTGGACCCCCCTCTATCCACCTGCCCCTGTTCCACTTCTGCGGGTTCCTCCTCCTCCCTCACACACTAGAATATTCTCTATTGTTCTTTCTACATTTGGTTCTCACCACACTCCTGCTCTCTCTGGGAGGCCATATTCCCAGCCAGAACTCCAGCTGTCATCAATGTGAAAGTCATTTCCAATCAGTGGCTTGTAGACTCACCTCCTCTCCTAGGCCCACACCTGCAGTAACCACATTTCCAGTTGTCCCTCAACCATGACCTGCCAGACAGTAATTCCAACATCCTCTCCATCCTTACAACCTTCTTCTTCAGAACCTCTCAAGATTAATGGTGCCATCACCCACTGTAATAGTTTCCTAGGACTTCCAGAACAAACAACCACAAGCTGTAGGACTTAAAACAATAGAAATTTATTACTCTCATGGTTCAGGCAATCAAAAGTACACAGTCAAAACTGGGGAATGAATCTATTCTGTGCCTGTTTTCTAGCTTCTGGAAATGTCTAGCAATCCTCGGCATTTCTTGGCTTGCAGCTATAAAATGCCAGTCTCTGTCTGAATTGTTACATGCCTACTTCTGTCTGTGTGTCCTAGTCTCTGTTTCTTCTACTCCTTTGGTTCAATAGGACACCAGTCATATTAGATTTAGAGCCACCCTAATTCATCATGATCTTATCTTCACTTAATCCCATGTGCAAAGACTCTTTTCCAAATAAATTTACATATACAGGTGCCGGGTGCTGGGATTTCAAGATCTCTTTTAGGGCAGACACAAACCCATCATAGCCACCTACTTTACCAAGCTAGAGTCAGAGAGTTATTCAAACCCTGAGGCAAAAGCTCTTCTGATTTTTCATCAGAGTCTCTCATTCAGCCCTCCTTCTGTCTACTCATATTCCCCATGCCAGTCCACCTTCCTCATGGCCACCAGTTGCTTCCTGCCTTACTCTGCTATTTTAAAATGTCTGGTGGCCCCCAATGCCTGGAGGACAATTCTAGCTTGAATCAAGGCCTTTTATTCCAACTCCTCTCTCCTCCTGAGTTTCTGTCTCTTTCCATGGCTCCCAGACTGTAGCCACACAGAAATTTTTGACATTCCCTGAATATACTACATTTTGTCACCTCTTCAAAAATCCTTTCTCAGACTCTGTTTTTGAACTCTTACTATGAAATGTACCATGTCACAGAGCAATCGCGTTTTTGTTGGCTTATGTCTCCCCCAGTCCCTGTTCCTCATTTATGGGATGAGCTGTCTCCTCTTCTCTTTGTATACCTAGGGGTCAGTGTATTTTTCAACACCCAGAGGTACTGGTTGAATGAATGGGACTTTTATTGTAGTTACAGTTCTGCTGCTACCTTTGGCCTTGAACAAATTGCTTAACCTCTCTGATGCTCCATTTCCTCATTTTGTAAGTTTAGAGGATCTGTAAGATCCCTTGTCAGTAACATTCAGCAACAGCCCTGCCCTTTGTGTGCTACACTGCATGTCCTGAGAGAGCTTCTCTCTTCTGATGGTCAGGAGCAATCAAATCATTGAGGAAGAATCTGGTCAGTGCACTGACCCAGCATTTTCCATAAATCCCTCTGCAAAAAAGTTTTTAGTCAAAGGTTCAATTAGGGAGTAAGCTGCTAGGTAAGGTGTCAGGACTGGAGAACAAGGGCTTTGACTGGCTCCATGATGTTCTGGACTCCTGAAAGATTTCTGCATTATAAAGACAACACAAAAGGAGCCTTGTGTCCTTGAGGGAGCTCATCTTAGACTCCCAAAATCTGAGCACTGCAGAGACCTTGGAGATCTCTGTTTAACCAGTGTATTTCATGGAATAACCACATTTTTCTATATTTGGATGCATAACATACTTAAGAAACTGTTGCTTGTGCTGCTTAAATGGATACTTCTATACAAACAATTGCTTTGTGCATTTCATTGCAAGCTCAGTTTACAGTCTGCTCTGATAATTTCATTCACCAAAACAAAACAACAACAACAACAAACAAATAACAAACACTAAACTCAAGGTAACAGTGTCAACATTTAACATGTTTCAGAATAAAAAAAAATTGCTTTCTAAGAACAGTTGTAAACATTAAATTACTGGAGAGAACAGGGCTTGCCCCTCTTCCATGACATCAGAACATAAATGCTGTTGAAGATTAGGAAGCCATGTTTCTGGTACTGAAAGACAGGGCTTTGTTTGGTTTTGCAGATTTTATTGTTGAAGAGAATGCTGCAGGCATTTGTGGAATGTCACCGTTCCATCTAATAAGTGCCTGGCTTGTTATATTTTTCATCAGTCTGACCTTCAGGTTAATTAATGCAACAAATCCTTTTTGCTATTGGGCCACATTACTCGAATTGATAGATTTTTTGTTTTAAAGGCCTCCAAAGAACATGAATGTTGGAGTAAGATTTGCAAAACTAAAATCGAACATTCAGAATTATCAAGAAAGCTCTGAATCACAATTTAAAAAATGAAATGAGCAGTAGCCATCTCAAGGTTTTTGCTGCCATCTGCCGGCCAAACTGGAAAACTACAGTAGCATTCAAATATAACTCAGGAGAGGGAGTCCATGATACCTAAGCAAATAGGAACTGACCATTCTACAAGAGATGCTGATCCAAATTCTGGGGGCTGAAGGACCTAGATAAAGGAAGCAGTATATTTAAATACTAAAAATCTAAAAGTAGATTTTTGTCAATCGGCTCAATTTTTGTGCCGTATCTTTAAATTATGGCATTTTGGCTTAATAGCTTAATATGAATACAGAAATTCTAGGTGGTAAATCAAGAGACATATACTAACCTCTCTGAGCATCATTTATAAAACCAAAAGTTGCTAAACTTTTACCAAACTCTTTTTTTAATCGATTTTATTATTTTTTAAATACACAACAACAGTGGAATGCATTACAATCCTTATTACACATATAGAGCACACTTTTTCGTATCTCTATATATAAAGTATGTTCATGTCAATTTATGCCATTATACATGTACTTTTTTTGCATTACAATTCTTAATACACACACACACACACACACACAATTATGTATATTTTTGTTCTTTCTGGTCAACAACAACAACGTCACAGGATGACTCACTGGAAAGACCAGCAGGGCAACTGGTCTAGATGCTGCCTCTCAGGTTCCAACTGAAGTTCAGGGCACAATGGCCTTTGCTGAGATCACCTTTGGAAATTAGCCATTTCCTTGGAGGTCAGTGATATGCTATAAGCAAAAGAGGAGGGGTCTGTGCAATCACCTACCAGAAGATTTGGGCAGTTCTGCTCTTTTCCTGATCACTGAATTTCACAGCTGCTTCCAGAATTCTTGGCATCTCATTCCACTTTCAGTACCATCCTCAATTTATGCTTATCCTAGCAGGATTAACAAACTATCCTGAGGAATGGAGGAACGAGAGAGAGAGAGAGCGCGCGCTCGCGCGCGCGCGCACACACACACACACACACACACACAGAGTGGTTGAGGTTAATTACTTTTCTATCCCATAAAGTTTATTAAAAGTTATAATGACCTGTGAAAATTGAGGTGGTACATATTTCAGAACCTAGGCTTGGTTGCCTGCCTGTCACCTTATGGCTGCAATATTTGACTCAGCAAGAAATATTGTGCTTGTTTATTTCTTTCAACAATTATTATTAGGGGACTGGGGATGTGGCTCAAGCAGTAGCATGCTCGCCTGGCATGCGTGCAACCGGGGTTGGATCCTCAGCACCACATACAAACAAAGATGTTGTGTCCGCCGAAAACTAAAAAATAAATAAATATTAAAATTCTCTCTTTAAAAAAAACAAAACAATTATTTTGACACCAGGGCTAGAATACCAACCATGCACCAGGCCACATGCTAAGCAATAAATCCCACATAGCTCCTATTGTCATGGAACACACAATCTATCAGAGACAGAAACATAAAACAGAGCTTACAGGAGCAATAAGGACTAAGAACAAGCAATGCAGGGTGTCTGTCTCTCTCCTTCATGTCTGCCAAGTTGTTCTCCTGGGATGCCTAGATAACCCCTCATCATCCCCACAAGCCACTGCTCTGTGCCACTTGAGAATAGATGGAAACATTTCTACTGAGGCCATTCATCCAGAAGCCGTTGGCCCACTTGGGTACTAGATGATAGTTAAGAAAGGGATATCATTGCAAAACTGAATTCTTGTAGGAGAAATAATTCTTGGACTAGGCTTGGGGAGTCACAAAACCACCATTCTTGTAGGATTAGTTTTGTAACATAAGAAATATATTAAGTTCCCTTATCTGACAAATGGAGAAGCAAGTTGAATTTCTTTGGGGGATAGAGACAAAATAGATACAAAAGATCAAAAGTTAAAAAGGCAGAGACAGGAGGATTGTGAGTTCAAAGCCAGCCTCAGCAATTTATCGAGATGCTAAGCAACTCAGTGAGACCCAGTCTCTAAATGAAATACAAAATAGGGCTGGGGATGTGGCTCAGTGGTGGAGTGTCCCTGAGTTCAATCCCCAGTACCTGCCCCCAGCCCCGGCCAAAAAAAAAAAAAAAAGAGGCAGAACTGGAGATGTAGCTTTGAGGTCGAGTGCCTGCCTAGCATGAGTGAGGCCCTGGGTTCAATTACTAGTACAAGCTGAAATTAAAAAATGGAAGTTAAAAAGACAAAAACAAACATTGTTATTGATAATTATAGTAGGAGGTGCTTTTGATAACTTATATAGCCAATTTCTTAAATTCTTTCAAAGTCGTTTTTCAAAAATGCCTCATTTCCTAATCCTAAAATGGCTACCAGTAATTTTTGCCACCCCTCAGTAAATCGCATATACCAGTGGTTTTTAAAAGTTATTTTGAGAGGTGCTTTGAGCTCCTAATAATTGAAGTTTATAAATTGTCCTAATTTGCTTCTTTCTAGCACCCCCAAATTCAGAAGGAGTCTCAGTATATCAAGTATCTTTGCTGTGATGATGCCAGAACTCTCAACCAATGGGTCATGGGAATAAGGATCGCCAAGGTGAGAGCGCCTTCCAGCTTCACCCTACTGTGAATTTCTTCAGTCAGCTTCCTGGCCTAGGTCCAGCTTCTGTGCTACTGTGAAACAGCTGACCCATTCTTGGTACAGCCTCAGACATCATCTCATTTATTTTCCCACTGCATTTATTAAGTAATGGGAGTGATAGAAATATGGATCTCTCCACCAGCCTGAGAACCAAGGGTTGACTTTCCAATGAAACTTTTCAGGCATTTACTCATGGAGAGGATTGCAAGTTGATTTTCAGGGTACAATTAAGAAATACAAGATTGGCCTGGGGTGTGGCTCAATGGTAGAGCACTTGCCTGGCATGCGTGAGGCCATGGGTTTGATCCCCAGCATCACAGAACAGAAACACTAGATTGAGTCTACAGTATCATTACGTAAAGACACATAATCAAAATTGCTTGGCTAAAGCTCTCTTCTAATGCATAGACAGAAATATCAACTGATTCTGTTAATCTGAAAACTTATTTGATGTGTGAAAAAACAGTCAGTGAATTTTTATTGAAATATATGAAAAACAACAACTTAGGCAAGGACAGAAAAGAGTAGTCATGGAATTTTTTTTCCTCGATGTGTATATTGCAACTGAATGCAGAACTTGAGATTCATGGATTTCTTTCTTTCTTCCTTTGTATTCCCTCCCTAGTATGGAAAGACTCTCTATGATAACTATCAGCGGGCTGTGGCAAGGGCTGGACTTGCCTCTCGGTGGACAAACTTGGGGACTGTCAACACAGCTACACCAGATCAGCCTTCCACAGGTACTAAGCAGAAGAGAAACGTGCATTTCAAGCTCAGAGCACATGTTCAAAACTTACCCGACACACTGTAAAATGCAAACTCTACAGACATTGCTTGGAATACATTTCTTTTCCCACAGTGAGGCTCAGCCTCACCTTACCCCACCCCAGGCATACATCCAAGTGACCTTTAACAAAGGTTTGACCATTTTTTTCATGATATGCTTGTAGATGAGGTGCCAATCACAAGTTCAGGGTGAGCTAGTATGGAGGTGTGTCTCATCAGAGTTCAAATACTATATTTGTCCAAAGCTCTTTAGCACCCAGCATACTATTACACCAAGGATGAGATAGTGGCCTGGTGTTTTGCCTAAGTGGCATTGTGATTAGAAATTCATACCCAATCCTGACATCACATTTTAATGAAAATATAATAGCAAGTTGCTAATATGTATAAGAAAGAGGGATGGAGTGAATACTGTGTGCTACTTTACATATACCACTGTCCCTTGGGATCCATGAAATAGTGGGATATTTGCATATGACACATGCACATCCTCTTGCATACTTTAAATCATTTCTGAATTACTTATAATACCCAGTGCAAGGTAAATGCTAAATAAGTAGTCATTACCCTGTATTCATACAGACACACTTTTTTTTTTCAAATACTTTTGATCAGTGGTTGGTTGAGTCCACAGATGTGGAACCCAGGGATACAGAGGGATGGTTGTACTATTTTGGGTTCTTACAACAGCCCTGCAAAATATAGATTATAATCCCCACTCACAGCTGAGAAAACAGAAGATCGAAGAAGCTAGTATCTAGTATCTTCTACATGGCTGAGCTGTGATCCAAGCACTGGGTAATTTATGAAGAATAAAGGTTTATTGAGCTCCTGGTTCAGGAAGCTCCCAGTTTAAGGGGCCACATCCAGTGAGAGTCTTCTTGATGGTGGGGACACTGAAGAATCCTGAGGCAGCACAAAGGTACACATGGCAAGGCACATGAGTCTACATGTCCACTCCTCCACGTAGCTCACTCTACCTATCCTCAGGTCTCAAATTAATTGTCCTTTGTATGTCAGTCAAAATTAATAGTTTATGTAATATTAGCTTAATCTCTGACCTCCTCTAGACTTTACGGTACCTCAGGAGGTCAGGGGCTGGGTTTGTGAACCTTGGTTTCCCCAGCATGGAGAACAGTGGCTGGCTGATCAGAGATACTCAGGTAGAATTCAAAAATGGTTGAAATAACAAGTGAAAAACTGAATTGGTACACTACAGAGTGCCTCTAAGGTTGGAGCAAAGCAGTGTGTGTGAATATCCTTAATTCTATGAGTTCAGTAGTTCCAGTCCTTCTAAGTGACTTGCTTATAAACAGTTTTTGAAGAAAATCGTTTTTTAAGAATACCATTGCAGCAGATGAGACTTTCAATGAGTAAGAACAGAGATCTGGCACGTGATTAAATATCCCGTAGTAAAAGGAAAGCAAATTAACCCATGTAGATGCTGCTGTAGAGTCTTATTAGCCAAAAATTCTCAGGTTCTGTCATAGCCACTGGCCCTACAAAGAACAAATGTGTTGAGATTTTTAAAATAAACCCTGCTGGTATTACAGAGCTGGGGCCTTTTGGGAAATTGAAGCAGCATGAAGACCCCCTCCCTTCAAATCCCAATTCTTGCAATCAAGTTAGAAAGATTTCAGACATGCTGCTCAGAATAACAGGAATGCGTTTATTGAAGGGATAGGAAAGGAAAAGGGGACACTCTCAAGGGAGAGAGTGGGTCCTCTCAGAGAGGAGAGGGACAACATGCCTCTCCTGCCCTCCAATTATATTAGGTATCCCAGAGAAGTTTTCAGAGCCCTCTTGGGTCCACCTCTTGACTTTTAACTGACAGCAAGATGCCATCAGACTTTCAAGTCCCCACTGCCATGGCAACTCTGTCACTTTGGCCCATGCAAACTGGTTCTAATTGAATAATGAACCATAAATTCTTACAGGCATTCTGGTTCGGAAGAATTATCCTTATCTCTCTGAGTTTTGGGATCTGGTCTATGAAAAGGGTCTTGAAATTCTTTCCCTTCAGTTCCTCTTATTGACATTATTTGGGGCCTGCATTTCTCTTGCAGATAACAGGTAGTTTGCTGAGGAATGTGACATATCCTGTTCATTTAGGCCAGGCAGGGCTGCAGGTAAATTGCTTCTTGGAAAAGAAAGCATGTGGGGGTTCAGCACTGTGGGCCCATTTTACAGGATTATTCCCTTAATTTCATGTTCCCACCATCTGCATCTGTCTGTCTCCTATCGCTGGGAGCCATCTTATTAATAAAACCTTTCAATGAGGGGGAAATCCTCAATTTAAGCTTTCTTTCCTGTGTGCCTTAGAATTTATTGCCACCAGCACTAGCATGTATAGGATTTTTAGTTCTAAAGGACAACATCAGCGACTAGCTCAGAAAGAACTGAAAATGAGTTCAAAAGAAACTCAAGTTTACTTTTCCTAGTTACACCCATACACCCTCACAGGGTGACCACTCCTCTTCTTAGCAATGAAGACCTGCGTGAAATTATGCCATCTTTTAAAATTTAGCTCTTGCCAAATAGTCCTACTGAAGCCTCTCTCTCCACCTGAACGCATCACACAAAAGTAGTAGGGTCCTTAGAAAGTGTTTGAGGGACATGACATGTTTTGTGCCATGCTAACAATATCACAAACTGGGTAATGTATGAACAACAGAAGTTGTTTGGGCTGATGGTTCTGGAGGCTGGGGAGTTTAAGACCTAGGAGCTCTATGTGGTGACAGTCTTCTTGTTATGTTATGACATGACAGAAAGCATTTCATGAGAAAGAGCTCACAGGAGTGAAGGGAAGGGGGTTAAACTCGTCTTTTTTTTTTTTTTAATCAATAACCTGCTTGTGAGAAGATACCTAGGAACACAGTACAATCAAAGCATATGATCCTTCCAACTCCCCCCACTCAAAAAAAAAAATGTCAAGGATAACATCAAGAATAACCTTGAAAGAAAAAAGTTCCTTGGGGTCTCTATCAGTTTGTTTTGTTGTTGTTGGCACTATGACAAAGACCCAAAGTAGATGAACTTTATGAGGAAAAGGGCCTCATTAAATTGCTGAGGCTGGCTTTGAACATCCTCCTGCCTCAGCCTCCTGAGCCACTGGGATTACAGGTGTGCACCACAGCACCCAGCTTTCCCCTGTACTCTCTACCCAGATCACCAATATTGAGTATTTCACTATGTTTATCCTTCTCTCTTAACTCCCTCTTCTACACCTTATACACACACATATTTTTCTGAACCACTTGCGAGTAGATGCCCCTCTGTTCCTTAAATCTTCAATTTGTACTTCCTAAAAACACATCTCTTTTCTTACTAGCCATAGTTACAAGACTCAAATTTAAGAAGTTTGGTATTTAGTATTGGTGGCATACTTTCATCTGAACTACAGTCCATATTTCACTTTTGCCAATTGCTTCAATAATGGCCGAATATTTCTCATAGCACAGATTCAGTCCAGGATTGGACATCGTTCCTATTCACTGTGTCTGTATGTCCCCATTCATCTGGAACAGTGCCTCAGCCTTTCTGTGAATTTCAAAACATTTGCAGGGCTGGGGATGTGGTTCAAGTGGTAGCATGCTCGCCTAGCATGTGTGAGGCACTGGGTTCGATTCTCAGCACCACATAAAAATGAAATAAAGATATTTTGTCCACCTAAAACTAAAAAATAAATATAAAAAAAAACATTTGCAGGTTTTTGGTTTTTGGTTTTGTTTGTTTGTTTGTTTGTTTTTTGGTTTTGATTCTGTTTTTTTAAAGAAAAGGGCCATTTCTTTATAGAATGTCCCAAGATTTAAATGTGTGTTTCCTCATGATTTGTTTCAGTTTATGCACTTTGGGCAGGAATATTGCAGAGTGCTGTGAGTCCCTCAGGGTCCTGTCTGTCGGTCCCTGTTGGAAGCATTCACTTTGAGCATACAGTTGAGCTGTTGTCCAGTTTCTTTTCTGAAGGGATTTTTCACTTTGTACCTAATGGTTTGGAGATACTTTGAGGCTATAACCATCTTACTCCTCACCAAACTTTGCCTTTTTCGCTCCCATCTCCTGAAATCCTAAAAGGCTTCTTTGAGTTGTTGTGTAGATTAATGGGTTCCTCACATTGTTGGAAAACCTTTGAAAAAGTAACTACTTGACAGAATTGCTGGCACTGAGGCTGACTAAAGCAATCTCCACCTTCACCAGATGAAGAGCCGATCTTATGGCATGGGCTGGGTGGCAGCACAGTACTAGAAGAAATGGCCTCAGTGTGTGGAAAACATCTGTCCCTAGGGTGCTTGTTAAGGAACCAGAGTAATCAACACACAGCATCTTCTATCTGATTTTCTCCAAACTGTAAAACTCAGGCTAGGGGTGTAGATCAGTCATAGAGTGTGTGTTTAGCATGTGCAAGGCCCTGGGCCTCATCTCCACCACCACACGCACAAAAAAACATCATAAACCCTCAAAAGTCATATTCTTGTGGTGAAAGAGCAAACCAAAAGACAGGAAAATAAAATAGTACATATCAGGACTTTTGAGAGAAAAACAAAACATCTCATCAATTCCAGGATATATCAGGGGTCTGCACATTGAGCCTAATTCTCCCACCCTGACTCTGCTCACCCTCATTTATTTCTACGTACAGAGGACTTTTGTTGAGCATAATTTTTAAATTCTATTCCTGTAGCCAACGTGATATGAAACTGGATGAATACATTACAGAAATTTTTTCTGTAAAATTTTTTACAGAAAAAAAAAGAATTTTTAAATAGATTTACAGCAGGCATGGTGTCTCACGCCTAAAATCCCAGCAATTTGGAAGTCTGAGGCAGGATTGTAAATTCTAGGCTAGCCTGGGCAACTTAGCAAGACCCTGTCTCAAAATAAAATAAAAGAGAGGTTGAGGATATCGTTCAGTGCTGAAATGCTCCTGGGTTTAATCCAAAATTTATTTACCAAAAGTAAATATAGATGTTCAAGGTTTATTCTCTACTTGCCAAAAAAAGTTTTTAAAAGCAGAACATACTGTCGTCTAGATTACCAGTTCATCCAGATTTTCTTCAGTAGGCTTTTTCAAGTATGTTCACTTTCCAGAATCTATTGATCGATTGATTGACTGATGATTGATTGCAGCAATGGGGATCAAGTACAGGGCCTGTGCATGCTGTGAAAGTACACTAACACATTTCCACCCCCCGCTGACTCTGCTGATCTCAAGTACAGTTTTGGCATATTAATTTTTAAAAATTAATGCATTTTTGTGCTGGGGATGGAACCCAGGCCTCAGGCATACTAAAGTACGGGTTCTACCCCTGAGCTACACTCTCAGGCAGAACCTGATTTTTCATAGGGTCCTAGGGACCATCATACCTGTGAATCCTCTCTTTGCTTTAGTGATGTGAGCTACTTTGTATTTTCAGATTTACTTTCAAGGATTTTTTTTTTTTACTTTCAAGGATCTTGAAAACATCTTGCTCATTCTTTTCTTTTTTCCTCCCTTCAGGACTTAAAACTGGCACTGCCCAGCCCAATGGTCAGATACCCCAGTCTGCACCTTCTGTCAAGGTTGTTCTGGAAGAGGCCCAGAGAAATGTTGAAACAACTAAGGTAAGACTAGAGAGGAACTAACACAAATCAAACTGGAATCTATAAACCCCTCTTCTAAACCATAAGCATTGTTCTATTAACCGCTGTTTTTGAAAGAGCAAATATAGTTCCAATAACTAAGTCACTTTACTATAAATTCATTTAGGATATTGCTTTATATTTTTTATCCTAAAGTTACTGAGGCAAGAATCAAAAGTTAAAACCAACCATTATCAGACTGTTTCATGACAATGTAAGCATTTATTTTAAATGCTGGAGGTATTTAGCTACATTTATTTTAAAAGAAGTGATTTTCTTGGGTTAATGATTTTTAGTACTCTCTGAAAGTGGTACACCTGAGTTTTAAGCTCTTTGGATTTTTATTTATTTTTCCTGAGTAAATTAGAACAACCAACCCTATATGAAGTCTTAAGTGAACCCTCAAACCATATTAGAAGACTACTAAGAGGGTTACACTACAAAATGTACTACAAAATGTACATTTTACATTTTCCTATTAATGTCCCACATACGTCCTCAGGATGATTGGGAAAAAATACATTCAAAAATAATAGCTAAGATTTGGAGATGTAGCTTAGTGGTACAGGACTTGCCTACCATGTGAGACCCTGGGTTCAATCCCTGGCGCGCGCACACACACACACACACACACACACACAAAATAGTAGCCCGATTGGTAAAACATTCTAACTTTTTAAAAAACAGAATAGATTAATAAAGATTCATTTAAATCTATCTAAAAATCACAGATAACAATTACAATTTAGTTACTAATCCAGTTCATAACATCTCAAATGACTATAAATCGCACTAAATATTTCCCATGTCTGATTCAAAGCTGCCTTAAATAATTATGATAAGGGCACATCACCCAACTATTAGAGTCAGTTGCTTAGCTTCACTAGTTTTTCACTTCATTCTTTTGTTTATTTTTGTCCATTGTCCAGTGGTAGAAACAGTTAAATCCTGCTATAAATTGAATGTCTTATTATCTTTGAATATCAGTGTAGGCTTTTAAAAATTGTTTAGCTAATGCTGTCTTCTCCAGCTTGATAATCTCATCATGCAATGCACTTTCAGCTATTATTTTCATTATTTCTATAATGTCAACTGAAAGAAAGTATTCTAAAAGGACAAAAGAAATAAAAGAACCACAGAATAGAAATCATTTAATGATGTACAGACTATGCCCAAGCTGTCTGTTTGGAAATTGAAAAAAAAGACATCACCAGTTAATTAGCTTATCATGTTAATAAATAAATACTCAATCATAAAGCATTTTGCTAAGAAAAAAATTCTAAAGTCTAGAAAACTTCTGCAGTGTTAAGAATTTATTTAGCAAAGAAAGAAAAAAAACCGATAAGATGGAAATTGGAGTGATAATTATCAGCAAAACAAAGGCATTCAATTCAGTTGCCTAAAATTCCTGGGGGAGTTGCAAGATATAAATATACATCATGATTTTTGCCAGTTCACTATTGGCAGTTGAAGGCAATGTTCTCATTGGACTTTAGTCAGATTTGGTGTACTGGTTTTATTGTATTTAATCTCATCATAACCTGAGAGCAATATTAACAGGGATGTGGCATTTGCTTTATACTTGACTTTCACACCATTAAGACAAGTTAACTGATTGTGGTCCAGGTGTTCTGCTTTGTTGACACACATTGCCTTCTCTGAAGCTGTTATGGCAGAAGCACCTCCCTAGAAGTCCACAGTCTGGAAAAGGAACTTCTGTTCTAGGAACCTAATGAGAAGTAGGGACCCAAGAGCAAATGGAACAGTTCTCAGCTAAGAAAGAGACCCTTTGTGCCTGGATCAGCAGAAGCTCAGGGAGAACTATTTCCATTTGTTATTTTCTCTCCTGTGTTCTTAGTCCTAATCAAAGTAGGAAATCTAAGCCAGTAGATGTTTGTGAAGGTTTTGGGGAGCCTCTTTCTCTGTGCTATCCAGAGGGTGATTCAGAAGCAAAATAATTTTATAGATGCCTACACCTCACAGCTGAGCTTCACAACCAGTTCAGTCCAGAGCAAGGAAAAAACGTGTCCCAAGGGAAAACCGTGTCCCTGAATATTCTGAGGACCCTGGTATCCTGTCTTGGGTACTAAGGAGTGAGCAAGGAGTCCAGGGAAGCAACCTGGCTTCTATTTTGAGTTGCCTCAGGCTGAGTAGCTGTTAGATAAGACTGAGGGCACCCCGCAGGGAGCTAAGATCTATGCTAGGAAAGACATTTTAGAGACTGGGGACAACTCCTTTATAAAGTGAGTGCTAGGGAGACACATAGGGGATTTAAATACAGTGAACACCCAGTCCGGTACAGCCAAGTAGCAGTTGAGCACCCTGAGTTATGATTTTAAAGGCCATTGGAGCCATTCCTGTATCCCAGAGCAAAGATAAACTCATGAACATGCAGTCTCAGGGACTGAGGAACTGAGACTACCCTGGTGCAGAGATCCCACAGGTCAACATATCAATGTCATTGTCCTCTTCACCTTCACGGTGGCTGTTTTGTCAAGAATAATGAGTGCTGCTGTCGCTTTGTTGAAGGATCAGAAGCCTGCCATGAGTAACCACCACCCAGGAACGCCCAAGGCCCAGCACCTCCCGAAGGCCAGCCTGCCGCCACCCCCGCCTCCAGTGCGGCGGTCCTCGGACACCTGCAGCAGCCCCGCGCTGCCCAAGGCCAAGTTCGCGGGCACCAGCGTCTTCCCGTCCCCACCCGACGACTGCCTGCCGCCGCCGCCCCCGCCGCCTCCCGAGGACGAGGAGGTCCTGCCGCCACCGCCGGATTTCTACGAAGCGCCCCCGGACTTCGTGCCCCCGCCCCCGCCGTCGTTTGCAGGCGACCTGGGCTCCGATTTGCCGCCGCCTCCTCCGCCCCCGCCCTGCCTGGCCCCGGAACCCGCCGGGCCGCCCCCGATGGCAGTCAAAAGGCCTCCCGTGCCCCCCAAGAGGCACGAGAACCCAGGACTCCCTGGCGGGGGAGCGGGCGGAGAGCAGGATTTCATGTCAGACCTCATGAAAGCCTTGCAAAAGAAGAGGGGCAACCTTTCCTAGGGCAGCCCGGGACGTGCTTGCAGGAGGAGCATTTCTAGTGTCCAGTGCACGTCCTGCTGCTTCACTGTCAGGACGTCGCCTTCCTGTTAGATTCACTGTTGAGGTTTTCCAGACTAGAAATGATGTAGTCCAGTTCCACTGTTGTGCTCAAGTATGTTCATAGCAAGATTTAGACTATCCGACTCAAGTACATCTCTCTCCTATGTATTTTCACCTGGATGGAATTTATCTTCCCATTCAAGTTAACTAGAATGATGTCTTGGGTTCGTTTATTTTATTATGCTCTGAAGCCTCAAATTAATAAAAGTTGAAAGTTTTACTGAAGACGGTATTTTTAGAAATGATTGTATAAATTTAATGCAATATCAACACTATATTTGACTTTCTAAAAGCTTTCCAAATCCTGTGTCTTTTTAAGTCTTATAGATCTTTAACATATTTTCTATTTCTATGTCTGTGACCTTCAGAATTTTCAAAAAGTCAAAAGAGGAAAAAGAAAAAAAAACATGACAAGTTGAATATATTCAGTCTCTGTGAGACCCCTCCCTTGATTAATTAGGATCCTGCACACATACAGTTTTGGTTTTGCTTTTTTAATATGTATAATGTAGTACACATTGCAAAAATGGTTTTTGGATTCTCCAATATTCCAATGCATAAATATCCCATAAAAATGTAGAAAAACAAAAAGGCAATTTCATATATTGTCATCAACCTAGAATGTTTTCTCTCAGAGATAATTTCTTTTATTTATTTATTTTTTCCAGAACTGCTATACCACTGCTACATCCCAGCCCTTTTTTGTTTTTGAGTCAGGGTCTTGTAAGTTTTGCGTGAACTTGCAGTCCTCCTGTGTCAACCTCAGGAGTAGCTGGAATTACAGGCATGTGTCACATGTCCTGTTCAGAGAGGAATTTAATGCCCAACCTCAATAACCAATTCATCTTGGGTTCCTGGTACTCAAATCTCTAATTAGTTTCTGAAAACTACTCTCTAATTAGTTCCTGATTGTTTTATTTTCATTTTTATGTTTTTTTTTTCTGTTTTGCTTTTTTCGGGTGTTTTTGTTGTTGTTGTTGTTGTTGTTGTTGTTGCTTTGTTTTGTTTTAATTTTAAAACTCCTGGGGCTGGCATTGTGGCTCAGTGGTAGGGCACTTGCCTAACAAGTATGAGGCATTGAGTTGGATCTTCAGCATCACATAAAAATTTAAAAAATAAAATAAAACAAAAGGTATTGTGTCCACCTACAACTAAACAAAGCATTGTTTTTTGAATTAAGGAAGATGATTAATCTTGAGTTTTAGTATTTATAGGAAATTAAGCTCTAAATTGACACTTACATTCAGTTTTAAAAGCCAAAATATTTAGTAATTAAAACTGGTAAGGTAGGCTTATAGAAGAAGGAGGGAACTTAAAATGCTTAACAGCAGATAAATCAATATTTTATAATATAATTCATTCTGTTCTATTTCCTGTTTGTTTTAGTTTGTGATTTTTTAATGTCACTGCACTGAAAATACAGCTTATCTGATACCTGACCAAAGCCTGGCCATTATGCAGATCCTGGGACAATACAGGAAAGGTATTAATGGCACAATTTGATCACAGACTGATTTGGAGATTTAAAGTTCAACAAAGAGATATAAATATCTATTAAAACACACAGTTGTCCAGGTCAGTCACCCGGTGGCTCAGGACAAAAGATCTTCAAAAGGATTATAATCTGGATTTACTTATCTGAGTCAAAATTACCACCTGGTTTACAGATCAGAAAATGTATTCATCTTTGAGAATAACTTAGAATTTAGGACGATTATAAGCAAAAGAGTAGTGCTTGACTGAGTTTATTTCAGTCTAAAACCCTCAAAGGTAGTTCATGGTCATATCTGCAGAAGGAAGGAAAAGTGTCTTTCCATCTGACAGCCACAGAATCTTACGGATGAAGGCACCCTGAAAATATAATTGAGCCCATTCCATCAATGATGACTATGACTTTAAGTAATAAAACCAATTGGAAAAGCTCAAGTAAAAGGTGGCATTTATTCTGTGGATCAGAGGCACAGTCCCAGTAACACCAAGCATTTGCCTAGACTCTCAGCCAGGTCCTAGAAGAGGTTCCTGGAAATACAGTTCATTTCTCAATTTTCTTCTCTATACTTTTACCTCATTGTTACCCTCTTTGCAAACATTGTTACCCTCTGCATTGTCACTGTACTTTTCAGTCCCTATGATGGAGGAAAGTCACTCTGCAATTCCCAAATTTCTGTCAACTCTGTCTAAAGAGGCCGGGACAGCCTGGCTATCTTTCATCCTAACTGGAAAATTTCTCTGAAAAAGTACAGCATCGGTCAAGGTAAGGAAAGGCCATTTCCTTGTCACACCATCTTTAGCATCACTGTGGATCAGGAAGGGTCCAGAGAGTAGGCAGTGGAGACGTGGGAGAGTAGAAGAGAGGGATTTGGTTTAATGGGCTTCATTGAAGACCCCAGAAGTGTCACTTCTGAAAGGAATCAGGCCACGGAGATGGATCACATCCCAGTAACTTCCATCTATACCATATATCCTTATAGTGGGGAAAACTAAAAATTAAAACTACACTGTTCATGAATTTTAACATTTGATAATGTGTATTTTAGGCAAGATACTGAAGAGAATTAGTTTTGTAGTCAAAATATTGACATAGAGTTGACCATGTATTTATGGTCAGAAGTCTTAGAAATCTGTGCTGCTTTTAGTTAGTGAATCCTGGGCAAAAGTTTGCTTTTGACAGACCCAGGCACCAGATCATGAACTCTGCAGTTTTCACTCAGTAGAACAGTCTTTGGTATCTGAGTAGAAGGTCTTCACAGACAGCTCCTATGCCTAAGTGTGATTATTTAGATTGGTCCTGGAAACAAAGCAGAATTTGTTCTTTTTTCATGAAGCTAAGTGAGGTCTTTGGATGAGGGCAAGTGCAAAAGCCAGGGCAGAGCTGGGGGATGTGGCAAAGAGTGCAAGGATTAAGACAATAATCCTATATCTTGGTTCATAAAAACTATACAATTTCTTATATAATGTCATCAGGACAAAGACCCATGTAATAGGTCAACTGCAACTAAAACTACAGCATTTGACAGTTTATAGGAAACATTTAACCTGCCATATGATAGAATCTGAAGTAAGATTTTGCCATAAATCCTCAAAGGGAGAACATTTAGATCTTTATTATGATTCACATATTTGATTTGATCACAGAAATAATGGCTGGTATGATATTAAGATGATTCAACTCAATAATTGGGCCTTAGAAACTTTTAAATTTCTTCATTTTTGTATTCATTCATATTAGTTATACATAATGTTAGGATTCATTTTGACATAATTATAAATGCATGGAATATAATTTGGTTCAATTAAGTCCCCAATACTTATCCTTCCCTTCCCTCTCCTCCCTCTCCCTGTTTCCTTTCCTCTCCTCTACTGATCTTTCTGCTATTTATATATATTTATATATATCTTGAACCCAGTGGCTATATAGGTGAGGGAAGATTGGCCATGCACTTATAATTAGTAAGATGGTTAAATATAAATTTGAGTCATAAAAATATTTTCTCTACTTCAGTAAATGTTTCCATAACAGAAAAAAATCATCTAGGAGTACAATTAAACTACATGCTTATCAATGTACCCCAAAATTCATAATATTTTGTAAGTACTAGATGAATACCTACAAATCATTTTGATTAAAATACTGTCAGAAGATTTCTTAGTCATTGAGGTTAACTCATTGTTTTGCTAAAAACATTTTGTTCTTCCATTAAGTTATTGATTAGAACAAAAATAATCACAGAGATGTTTCAAGAATAAGGTCCAATTTATTTGGCTAAAAATATTTTTGCATATAATCATTATTATTAAACATGGGGTTGTCATCAAAATGTAGATGATAATTAAGAATTTACAAAATAGATTATTCCATGTTAAGTTCAATAATAGAAGTATTTTTAATTGATTTTTCCCAAATTAAGATGAGCAACTGACTCTGAGATCTTTAGCCCAAGAAGGAGTGGGTAAGGCGTAGCCTGCTCTCTCAGCGGCAGAATACTTCTGGAAAGGACTCCGAAGTACTTGCTGGAGAAGACGGACCTAGTTAAACAATTCAAGTAGGTAAAACAGATTTTCTTACTCAGGACCCTTGTTAATTTTCTAAATTTTGAAAGTGGTAAGGTACATTTTAAATGTATTTGCAAATATTTATACATTTTATCTTTTATCAAAACCTCAACTATAATTGTTACTTAGAATGTCTATTATTCCACAGAAATTTTTTAAGTACTACTTTGACCAAAATGAGAGAGAAAAAAACATATATATACATATATATATGTAGTTTTCTTCCTCTATATATATATATATATATATATATATCCATGAAGACTATAAATATATCCCTGTAATTTCAAGATTCCTTCACAGCATTGAGGATTATAATTTTCTAAAATATTTTGAAAAATAAAAGGTTGTTAATGATTTGCAAGCTTTCCAAATCAAGGGCATGGATTCCAGCTCATATTGCTTCCTCATGTGGAATTTTGCCCTATGAAAATAAACGGAGGCATCTAAGACACATCTCTTTCAACAATAAGCCCAAAACCACAATGTATATTTTCAGTGATTTTGTGACTTCCTTAGGTATTATGAAGGAAATGCCTCATTCTGATAGAAAAAGGTGACTGAAGCTGAATGTGGTGGTGTGCAGTTGTAGTCCTAGCTATTAAGGAGGCTGAGACGGGAGGGTCACTTGAGCTCATAAGCTTGAGCCAGCCTGGAGACTGGTTTTCTTCTTCTTTCATCAAATAATTCTTGAGACTTGTCTCAAACTAAACAAATGAACTAACTAAAAAGGTGGATGATTATCTACACTAAGACATTAAAGCCAAAAGACCATATTAGTATATCACTAATGTTTGTTTGTTTGTTTGTTTGTTTTGAGATAGGGTCTTGCTATGTTGCCAGCCTAGCCTCAAAGCCCTGGGATCAAGCAACCATCCTGCCTCAGCTTTCTGGATGCTGGGACTACAGGCAGGTGCCACTATCCTAGTTTTTATTTTTTAATTAATTTTTTATTGTGCATTATAATTATACAAATAGTGGGACTGACTATGACATATTATTACACATATACAATATAATTTGGTCAGTTTCATTTCCCAATACCTCCCCTTTCCCTCTTCTCCTCTTTCCCCCTAGTTCCCTTCCTCTACTCTACTGTTCTCCCTTCTAATTTCATGAGTTCCTCCAACCTTTGTTTTCCTTTTTTCTCTCTAGCTTCCACATATGACAGAAAAGACTTAATGAGACTTTACTGATTTCACTTAACATAATATCTCAAGTTCCAACCATTTTCCTGCAAATGACATAATTTCCTTCTTCTTTATGACTGAATAAAACTCCATTACATACATATACCATATTTTCTTTATCCAGTATCTGTTGACAGGCTCTATAATCTGGCTATTGTGAATCGTGCTGCTATAAACACAGTTATGTGTACATCGCTATACTATGCTGACTTCAATTCTTTGGGATAAATAACGGGGAGTGGTATAGTTGGGTCACATGGTGATTCTGTTCCTAGTCTTTTGAGGAACCACCATACTGATTTCCATCGTGTTATACTAATTCACAATTCCACAACGGTGTATAAATGTTCCTTTTCCCCCACATCCTCACCAGCATTTATTACTATTTATATTCTTGATGATTTCCATTCTTACTGGAGATAAAATCTCAGTGTAGTTTTGATTTGCATTACCTTGATGCCTAAGAATGTCGAACATTTTTTCACTTATTTCTTGGCTATGTGTATTATTATTTAAATAGGAAGACTGCATCATGATAAACATAATGCTCTTAGAGCCCCTCCTGGAACTTTTCTCCAAGAATTTACTAGCCATGTCCTTTTATTGAAGTTAGCTGCATACCTATCAATCTTACCTACTAGTTTAAAAACATCCCAGCTAGATTTTTACACTTCTCTCCAGTGCCTTGCATTGAGTGGATTCTCAAGAAATATTTGATGAAAGAAGAAGAAAACCAGTTGCAGATATAAAGGGCTACATGTACAAAGGTTTAACAAAATCTTTTCCCTCTCTTGAGAGGGAAATGAGAATTTGACCTTTAGTTTAGTTTCTAGGTCTGTTCCCCTGATAACCTGATATATGGTATATGAATAGTATCACCATACAATATTGACTATGATTGACAATTGCTTAAGGACTGGTAGAACTGGAAATACCTGATATAGTGCTTTGGGCTTTCCTAAGTGTGGTACCTGTAGGTATAGTCTGTTGTGCGGACTTTGGAAACTGCCTATCAAGTTGTGATGAGAGACTGGTTTCTGTGCAGCATGAATCTTTTAAGCCAGGGATACCCCTGAATCTTCCCACTGGGCTCTTGTCTCCTTGCACCCAGGCTGCACAGTTGGGCCTTACTGCTGGTGTGTACTGCTGCAAAAACTCCTAAACACAAGGAACCTCATGTTGCCCTCTTGGAAGCTATGTACCTGTCCTATATCATTCTGTGCTGATGGCGGCCAAGTGTGGTCTATAATAGTCATATCATTCTGGGGATATAGCTCAATGGTGTGCTTGCCTAGCATGCACAAGGTCCTGAGTTCAATCCCCTACATCAGGAAAATAAACAAAAGTCATTGAACTTAAGAAATCCTATCTTTCCACTCCACCCAGTAAGCAATGTATTATTACTCAAATATAATTTGGAGGAAGAGAAAGAATATAAGCTAGGGAAAGAAGAGAAACAGGCCAACAAAACAACTTTAGTTTCCCCAGCTCAGATAAATTTATCAAGTGATAAATGCTGAGTTATTTCCTTCTCTTTGTTTTCCTTAGTGCCATAAAAAATTACATTTAAAAATATTCCATTTTCCAAAATGAAAACCTAAAATTGTCAGGCTAGTTAGACTACTGAAATAAAAAGTTAGTTCAAGTTCTGAATTAGAAATAGCAAAAATAGTTTCCTTTACATGCCAACTCTGATCAGTTGATAGTGACTACACAGCATGTTGTGAGTACATCTTAGGCTGTGATAAGTTTAGAGAGAAAGAGGGCCATGACCATCAATATTATTTGCTCCAGGATTAGGACCGGTCATTGACAACATGAATGCCAGGGCTATTTTTGGTCTAAAAGAATATACTATGTGTAATGTATCTTTAAACAATTAATTATGAAAGATTTGAAGTGGAGACGCTATACAGAATAATATAATAAGCACCTGTGTATCCTCTATTCAGTTTCATAAACCAAATACTTCCAATATGGTTGAAGCCATATTGCACGATACTAGTATGTTTTTGTATGTTTTTCTACTATATATAATGGTAACACAATGTAAAAATATTCTGCTTCCTGCTTGTTATGTTTCACATTATATGTGAGATTCATTCATGCTGATGTGCGTAGCTCTAATTGATTCATCTTCATTGTTGCTAAGATTAATTTAAAATGGACTCAGGTTGGCAGTGCCATGGTAGAAGCACAGGATAATTCTAACCTGATAGGACCTAATTATGTTAAATGTTAACTATGCCCTCTGAAATGACACACCCTCAACTACATTTCAGAGATTAAAACTCAAAAATGTCCAAACAAAAACAATAAACAGCAGAATCAGACCCTCAGAAGTTCAAATATTGTACATATGAATTTTTTAAATTAAAATGAATAATTAAAATATGAACACATTAAAGTAGAAAATAAGAGAAAATGATTCTCTGATAAGCAAGAAAAAACAGGCAGAGTGAAATGTGGGAAGCTGGTGTTGGTAATGGTATGGTTGAGAATGTTTATAAACACAATAAGTATATTTAAAATATAATCACATTTAAAATTAATAAAAATAAACCAGGGAAGTCAACCATCTTACCTCTGAAAAATCATTTCTTTCTGCTTTCTGTACTGCAGATTCAGCCATCCAGTTCTTCAGCACATACCTAGGGTTAACAGCTTAACCCAGAGGAGAAAGTAATCTTAGAACAATAAATTACTGAGTGAACAAAGGCCACGTTAAATCACCAGTGAAATTAGTTAATCTTTTAAAAGTTTGCTGGCTCAAAAGAGAAGTGTCAGTATCAGATAATATTGAATGTTTCTGAATAATGTTGAGTATTTATTATGATACATAAAAACACTTTAGTATCATGATCAACATCTGTTTTATTTAGTTTCATCATTAATTTGTTTTTCTCCACCACTGTAAGCTTATTAAGCATTCCATAAAGCTAAAGGAAAGTAGATAGTTCATTTGAATTAGGCCTAGCAGCCCACATGGAGAGTGAAATAATAAAACAGGAGTAGAGGAGCAGCGACCTGCTGAGAGGCAGAGCCGCCCCCTCCCCCTGCACTGGCAAGGTAGAGGGAACTGTGACCACGCAGAGCAGGCCCAGCGGCCTGCTGAGGGGCAGAGCCACCCCCCACCCCCCGCGCCTGCCAGGTGACCACCGACAGAAAAGGCCCAGTGGCCCGCGGTGGGACAGAGCTTCCAATCACTCCTGCAAGGTAGGCGGGCCTGCGACCCACCGGCAGAAGAGGAGCAGCGGCCTGCTGAGAGGCTGAGCCGCCCCCTCCCCCTGCGCCAGCAAAGTAGAGGGAACTGTGACCACGCACAGAGCAGGCCCAGCGGCCTGCTGAGGGGCAGAGCCGCCCCACACCCCCCGCGCCTGCCAGGTAGGTGGAACTGTGACCACAGACAGAAAAGGCCCAGTGGCCCGCGGCGGGACAGAGCTTCCAATCACTCCTGCAAGGTAGGCGGGCCTGCGACCCACCGGCAGAAGAGGACCAGCGGCCTGCTGAGAGGCAGAGCCGCCCCCTCCCCCCCGCGCCTGCAAGGTAGACCGAACTGTGACCACCATCAGAACAGGCCAGACCCGCAACCGAGAGACAGAACAGGCCCAGTGGCCTGAGGAAGGGTAGAGCCGCCCCCCACCCGCGCCTGCAAGGTAGGCGGACCTGCGACCCACTGGCAGTACAGCCCCAGAGGCCTGCAGAGGGGCAGTGCCGCTGCCTGCGCCTGCAAAGTAGACAGAACTGTGACCACCGACAGAACAAGCCTAGCGGCCCGCAGAGGGACAGAGCCGCCGCCCGCGCCTGCGAGGGAGACTTTGCAACTATACAAGACCAATATAAATATATAGGGGGAAAATTCAATAGCACAACAGTTTCACCAAGTAGAAAGGAACGCGAACAGTATGAAGAGACAAGGAAAGAAAGGACCACAAGCATTGCAGGTCAACTCAACGTTAGAAGAGGTAATAGCTGCAGCAGATGGAATGTCAGATAAAGAATTCAGGATATACATGCTTCAGATGATCTGGAGTCTCAAGGAAGACATCAGACAGCAAAATCAGACAATGAAAGATCACTTCAACAATGAATTACATAAACAAATCCAAGAAGCAAAAGATCAACTATACAGGGAAATAGAGGTTATAAAAAACAAACAAACAGAAATCCTAGAAATGCAGGAAGCAATAAGCCAACTTAAAAACTCAATTGAGAATACTACCAGCAGAGTAGAACACTTAGAAGACAGAACATCAGACAATGAAGATAAAGTATTTCAACTTGAAAAGAACATGGACAGCTCAGCAAGACTGTTAAGAAACCATGAGCAGAACATCCAAGAAATATGGGATAACATCAAGAGACCAAATTTAAGAGTCATTGGGATACAGGAAGGGACAGAGTTTCAAACCAAAGGAATGAGCAATCTATTCAATGAAATAATATGAGAAAACTTCCCAGACTTGAAGAATGAGACAGAACCCCAAATCCTAGAAGCCTACAGGACGCCGAATGTGCAAAATCATAAGAGACCCACACCTAGACACATTATAATGAAGATGCCCAACATACAGAATAAGGAGAGAATTTTAAAAGCTACAAGAGAAAGGAAGCAGATCACATTTAGGGGTAAGCCAATCAGGATAACAGCTGATCTTTCAACACAGACTCTGAAAGCTAGAAGATCCTGGAATAACATATTTCAAACACTGAAAGAAAATGGGTTCCAACCAAGAATTGTGTTTCCAGCGAAATTAAGCTTCAGGATAGGATGGAAGATGAAATTAAAACCTTCCACGATAAACAAAAGTTAAAAGAATTTGCAGCTAGAAAACCATCTCTTCAAAACATCCTTGGCAAAACATTACAGGAAGAGGAAATGGAAAATAACAATGAAAACCAACAGTGGGAGGTAGGACAGTAAAGGGGGGAAAAATAATCAAAGAGGAAAACAAACCATGTTTAGTAACATAAATAAACAAATATGGCTGGAAGAACAACCCATATCTCAATAATAACCCTAAATGTTAATGGCTTAAACTCACCAATCAAGAGACACAGGCTAGTAGAATGGATCACAAAACAAGACCCAACAATATGCTGCCTACAGGAGACGCATTTGATAGGAAAAGACATACATAGGCTGAAGGTGAAAGGTTGGGAAAAATCATATCACTCATATGGACTTTGGAAACAAGCAGGAGTATCCATACTCATATCAAATAAAATAGATTTCAAGCCAAAGTTAATCAAAAGGGATAAAGAGGGACACTACATACTGCTCAAGGGAACCATACACCAACAAGACATAACAATCATAAATATATATGCCCCAAACAATGGTGCAGCTATGTTCATCAAACAAACTCTTCTCAAGTTCAAGAGTCTAATAGACCACCATACAATAATCATGGGAGACTTCAACACACCTCTATCACCACTGGACAGATCTTCCAAACAAAAGTTGAATAAGGAAACTATAGAACTCAACAACACAATTAATAACCTAGACTTAACTGACATATATAGAATATACCACCCAACATCAAGCAGTTACACTTTTTTCTCAGCAGCACATGGATCCTTCTCAAAAATAGATCATATATTATGTCACAGGGAAACTCTTAGACAATATAAAGGAGTAGAGATAATACCATGCATCCTATCTGATCATAATGGAATGGAACTGAAAATCAACGATAAAAGAAGGAAGGGAAAAGAATACATCACTTGGAGAATGAACAATAGGTTACTGAATGATCAATGGGTTATAGAAGACATCAAGGAAGAAATTAAAAAATTCTTAGAGATTAATGAAAACACAGACACAACATATCGGAATCTATGGGACACATTGAAAGCAGTTCTAAGAGGAAAATTCATTGCTTGGAGTTCATTCCTTAAAAAAAGAAAAAACCAACAAATAAATGATCTCATACTTCATCTCAAAATCCTAGAAAAAGAAGAGCAAAACAACAGCAAAAGAAGTAGAAGGCAAGAAATAATTAAAATCAGAGCTGAAATTAATGAAATCGAAACAAAAGAAACAATTGAAAAAATTGACAAAACTAAAAGTTGGTTCTTTGAAAAAATAAACAAAATCGACAGACCCTTAGCCATGCTAGCTAAGAGAAGAAGAGAGAGAACTCAAATTACTAACATACGGGATGAAAGAGGCAATATCACAACAGACACTTCAGAAATACAGAAGATAATCAAAAATTATTTTGAATCCTTATACTCCAATAAATTAGAAGATAGTGAAGGCATAGATAAATTTCTTAAGTCATATGATCTGCCCAGATTGAGTCAGGAGGATATAGACAACCTAAACAGACCAATATCAATTGAGGAAATAGAAGAAACCATCAAAAGACTACCAACTAAGAAAAGCCCAGGACCGGATGGGTATACAGCAGAGTTTTACAAAACCTTTAAAGAGGAACTAATACCAATACTTTTCAAGCTACTTCGGGAAATAGAAAAAGAGGGAGAACTTCCAAATTCATTCTACGAGGCCAACATCACCCTGATACCTAAACCAGACAAAGACACTTCAAAGAAAGAAAACTACAGACCAATATCTCTAATGAACCTAGATGCAAAAATCCTCAATAAAATTCTGGCGAATCGGATACAAAAACATATCAAAAAAATTGTGCACCATGATCAAGTAGGATTCATCCCTGGGATACAAGGCTGGTTCAATATACGAAATCAATAAATGTTATTCACCACATCAATAGACTTAAAAATAAGAATCATATGATCATCTCGATAGATGCGGAAAAAGCATTTGACAAAGTACAGCATCCCTTTATGTTCAAAACTCTAGAAAAACTAGGGATAACAGGAACATACCTCAATATTGTAAAAGCAATCTATGCTAAGCCTCAGGCTAGCATCATTCTGAATGGAGAAAAATTGAAGGCATTCCCTCTAAAATCTGGAACAAGACAGGGATGCCCTCTCTCACCACTTCTGTTCAACATAGGTCTCGAAACACTGGCCAGAGCAATTAGACAGACGAAAGAAATTAAAGGCATCAAAATAGGAAAAGAAGAACTTAAATTATCACTATTTGCAGATGACATGATTCTATACCTAGCAGACCCAAAAGGGTCTACAAAGAAACTATTAGAGCTAATAAATGAATTCAGCAAAGTGGCAGGATATAAAATCAACACGCATAAATCAAAGGCATTCCTGTATATCAGCGACAAATCCTCTGAAATGGAAATGAGGACAACCACTCCATTCACAATATCTTCAAAAAAAATAAAATACTTGGGAATCAACCTAACAAAAGAGGTGAAAGACTTATACAATGAAAACTACAGAACCCTAAAGAGAGAAATAGAAGAAGATCTTAGAAGATGGAAAAATATACCCTGTTCATGGATAGGCAGAACTAACATCATCAAAATGGCGATATTACCAAAAGTTCTCTATAGGTTTAATGCAATGCCAATCAAAATCCCAACGGCATTTCTTGTAGAAATAGAGAAAGCAATCATGAAATTCATATGGAAAAACAAAAGACCCAGAATAGCAAAAACAATGCTAAGCAGGAAGTGTGAATCAGGCGGTATAGCGATACCAGACTTCAAACTATACTACAGAGCAATAGTAACAAAAACAGCATGGTACTGGTACCAAAACAG